TGGCCCTAGTGGTGCTCGCTGGCTCATACCCTCAAGCCCGGTGGTGCTCCCTGGCCCAACCATTGTTCCACAATCCATCTCTGCAGCAAAGGAAGTCAGTATGTGCTCAGAAAAATCAGGGCCCTTTATGCAGAGACCCCAAGGCAATAGGACCTGAAGACTACAGAGATTCAGCCCATGATTTCCCTCGAGGAACGATATTTTGCAAGATCAAAGTTCCTGATCCGAGAAGGGAATTCCCCTGACTGTGGTCCCACACCCTGTCTCTCTCCTGGTGGAATCCTCAGACACCCCCTCCTCTCCCATAAGCTCAGGAGCCAAGGATGTGTGGAGCTTGGGAATTCACTTCTTGGAGCATCCGGGGAGCATCCGTTGTGAGCACATAGGAGCATATGGAATTTGCCAGACTCTATGTCCTTCTTCCAGAGTAGAACAGGGGTCTGGTCGGTCTCCATGTGCCCTTTCGAGCCAACACTCGCTGTGATATCCAGAATATTGACAGTGAATATAAGATGGAATCCTTTCAAATAGTGATTGGAAATGTCTATTGCTCGAGGAGGTTCCTTCTGTCCTCTGGCTTAGTAGAGACCCAAGCTGGGTTCCTGAGTTCTCAGACCAGTCTTTCTCCACCTTCTCGCTGTGGCCCTCTTCCAACCAAATTTTCATCTCACGCCCCCACCTCCATCCTGGTTGACACCTAAGCCACATGCAATGTCCCTGATTAACACATGCTCCAACTGTGACCCCTTTGGAATATCCTGGGGAGCTGCTGCACACCTGAAGCCGCCCCCCCCCCATTAAGAAACACTGCCCTCACCCCACTCTAACCAAGGAGACGAGCATATCTCCATAGGGGTCGCCATGGGCTCCATGCCCCATTTTTTACCCACTGCCTGGGGGTAAAATGAGTTTTTTTATAAAGATCTATGTGATGGCCAGGCACCTGACAAATGCTTGACCTTTACCCCTTGGAGTTAAAACTCTAAGAAGACTCTATGAGAGACAAACTGTCAACTCGCACACCAACTCACTGCTGATAACTGGGAGGGGTTGTTAGTGCTGCATGAGGGATGTTGCTGTCCGTCAGTCCAACTGCAATCGCAGAAGAACAGAGACTCTGGGGTTCAGTGCATATCAGGACTTGACTTCTCACAGTTCTGGGGGCCAGGGAGTTCAAGGTGAAGGTCCCGCAAGAAGCTGCACCCCCGTTTCACAGAGAGCCGACTCTGTGAGCTGGAAACTCTAATTGCAATTGGGAACATTCTACCCTCAAGCCCTTATCCTCTCCCTACAGCCTCTCCTCCAAACACCCCAAATATCATCCCCAGGAGAACTAGGCCCCAGGTTGGACAATGGTTGGAATGGGACAGAGACACTCATTCCTCAGCACAGAGACTTGGGGAAAAGAAGAGCAGGCTCTATTTTAGCTTTGCCAGTTTCCAGTTGCTTAAAAGAAAGAGAAAAACTGCAGTTTCACTTAACTCCCTATTTGGCTACACTGCATCTACCTCACTGATTGTGTGCACATAGGGGAAAGATTCATTGCAAACTGATCCCCAAATGAAATGAGCATCCAAGGCATAGTCCCAGGGCCTCCGAATCTTCTGGCACGTTGGATGAAATACAGTCCAGGACTCTGACCTAGACTGACTGAATCAGAACCTTAAGTATGGGCCCAGGGAAATCTGTGCTTTGAATCAGTTCGCCGTATGGCTCTCAGGCCCTTCAAAGTTTAAGAACTTCTTGCCAAAACTCCAAAGCAAAAGCAAGTCCAGAGAGTCTTGAATATTCCTGCCCTTCAAAGAAAAAAAATTAAATCAACAGAAAGGAGTGTAGAGTAGCTTTGGAGGGTTCTCTGAAATGCCCAGAGAACTGTGTGTGCATGAACTGGACTGCATACAGTGGGAGGGCCAGGATGTGTGTCAATGGAGCACACGCAGTTGGCCACCTGAAATCTTGCCTACCAAAAGGTTCCAATCAAAACAGAGAACAGGATGGTGGGGAGTGGGAGAGAGTAGCAAAGGGAAGCCCCAGCCACACTCTCTCTGTGCCAGGATAGACAGAAAGGCTGAGACACCTGGACAGATGGCAGAAGCAGGCGGGGCTTGGATGCTTAGACAGATGGCAGGACAGCACAGGGATCTCACTCACATGCAGGGGACAAAGGAAAGCTGGACAGCAGGGAACAGCTGGAGTGAAGTCCTACAAAGGACCAGAGACAAGATTTCAGGTGACTAAAGCACACACTGGATACAGAATGGCATAAGCACAGGATGGGGTCAGTGTACATTGGAGGTGAGCAGATGGCAAGTGGCATCACACATAGGTCAAAGGAGAGGCCTGGATTGGAGAAGCCAGGCTCATCTGTGAAGACTACAACACACTCTAAACTTCTTAAGCATCTGAATTTAGTATACAATTCTCAAGAACCCACTAGCTCAAGGGAAACACACTTTCGTGCTAACAGCCCTGGAAGGAGAAAGCGGTGACAGCCGAGGCTGGTACTCAGGTTGCAGGAGTTCAGTCATCTTCGCCAAAACCTAATTGTGCAGTGCATGGATTTTTCTTTTATTCAAGTCCTGTGACATAAGCAGTTGCTCACGATGGGTTTTCAGGCGAACAGTGCTCCTACCTCCAATCCCATCACTCCACATCAGTGTTCTGCATTTCACCACCGCTCACCTATGATCTCTTCCATGCCCCAGTTTGAGTGCTTGACAATTACATTTTTAAGTTTAATGTCATATTTGGGTCCCAGGCTAGCAGTAAGGTTGGATCTAGAGGTTTATTTGATTTTTTTGTTGTTGTTTTGCTTTTTGAGTCACACCCTGCGATGCTCAAGGGTTACTCCTGGTTCTGCACTCAGGAATTACTTCTGGCAGTGCTCGGAGGACCATTTGCAATGCCAGGGATTGAACCTAGGTTGACCGCATGTAAGGCAAATGCTCTACCCGCTGTGCTATCACCCTGACCCCGGATCTAGCAGTTTAGATAGACCTCGACACCATCGAGGAGCACAGGACCCCTTACCCTTACCTCTGTTACTTCCGGAACTTCTCTTCTAGCTTCCCTCCTTCAATTTCCTCCATGCCTGTCCCTTCTCAGTGACTTAGTTACCCATCACCCCAGGATATTTCTCTCTTCCTTTTAGATTTAGCTCAGAGCACCACCCAAACGATCCCCTGGGAGAAGCTGCTCCTGACATTCCTTGTGACTCCTCATTGTGGGCCCCTTCCAGAGTCTATAAGGGACCCTGGCCCCTACTTCTACTCGGACTTGTGTGACGGTAAGGAGGGTCACTGTCATGGTGCTAGACTCTCTACTGCACCTATGGTCACCATAAGTCTATAACCTGGGTGGAGGCTGTTGGCTCTCTTTCCATGGAGAGCCTTGATAAGTACCAAGGACACTCAAAAAGTGAATGTCCCAGAAGCACATAATGGGCTGAGTCAAAGTTAACCACAGAGGGCCTGGAGTCACTCAGAAAGTGCCTGATTTAGAGAGGGTGTTACAAAGGGTCCTTGATTCTGCAGGATGCCATTAAGGTGAGAGAGAATCTATTCTAGTGAATTCCCCAGTGAGAGGAGAGAATGCTCAGGGAGAGAGATCCGGGCCCTGCAGGGGCCACAGACAAATGAAGAGGCTTCAGAGGGTTGAAGCCTGCCAGACCTTGGTCTTGGATGTCCAGCCTCTGAATTGTATGAAAATCTATTTTGATGGATTAAACCAATGATCTGTGGTACTTTTGTTATGGAGAGTGGCTAGAAAACAATTTATACCAGAAAGATAATTATTAAAATCAATGACTACTATTCCAAACTTTTATTTGGTGGGAGGCATTATGGGATCACACATGGCAGAGCTCAGAGATCAGTCTTGGCAGGGTTCAGAGGACCATATGGGATGCTTGAGATTGATCCTGGGTTGACCACCAGCAAGGCAAGTACCCAACTCACTGTACTATCTCTCTGGCTCCAATCTTGACCTTCTAATGCTTGTTGCAATTGTTGATTTCCAGAACTTTGCCTAAGTTATAGTTTATAATTAAACCATATAATTTATATAATTCATTTATAATCTATAAAATCATAATTATAAAATCATAATTTTATAATAAAACTATATAACTTATAATTAAATTCTTATAATTTCATTTCTCAGTCTGAAAAAATTTCACCTTTGTGCCCAATATTTGTGTATTGCTTTCAAAGAGAGGTCTCTTAGTCACAGAGAGAGTTTGAAGGGCTGGAGAGCATGCCTGGCATGTGGTCCCAGTGGCATCAGGAACTCTGGGGAGCCTCCCCTCCCTAGAGGGGAGGAAGGAAGGAAGGAAGGAAGGAAGGAAGGAAGGAAGGAAGGAAGGAAGGAAGGAAGGAAGGGAGGGAGGAAGGAAGGAAGAGAGGGAAGGAGGGAGGGAGGGAGGGAGGGAGGGAGGGAGGGAGGGAGGAAAGAAGGGAGAGAAGGAAGATGGGAGGGAGGAAGGAAGGAAGGAAGGAAGGAAGGAAGGAAGGAAGGAAGGGAGGGAGGGAGGGGGAGGGAGGAAGGAAGGGAAGAAAGGAGAGAAGAAGGATGGAAGGGAGGAAGGAAGGAAGAAAGGAAGGAAGGAAGGGAGGAAAGAAGGGAGGGAGAGAGGGAGGGAGGGAGGAAGGGAGGGAGGGAGGGAGGAAGGGAGGGAGGGAGGGAGGAAAGAAGGGAGAGAAGGAGGATGGGAGGGAGGAAGGAAGGAAGGAAGGAAGGAAGGAAGGAAGGAAGGAAGGAGAGAGGGAAGGAGGGGGTGAGAGGTTGGGTGTGAGAAGGAATGAAATAAAAAGGAAAGAAGCTCTGTGTCTTTATTCTCGACATTGATGCTTCACTTCTTACTCACATGTGAATTGTCAGAGGTTCTCTCAAGTCTGACATATCAATTAGTTGCTGAAGAAAATATCAGCTTAATGAACCATCAGATGTACCAATAGCTGCATGTGTGGCCACCAAACACAGAATGGGCCAAGAGTCTGCCGGTCTTTACAGATGTCACTTTTATTTTCAGAGTTCAAGTTACAAACCGTTCACATTGTTTGTGTTCAACTGGGGCAGTGGGGGTGATGGCCTAAGAATCTCCCAGCTACTGAATTCTGATGAAAGCCTGAAGCAAGTACAAAGTCACTATAGAGACCATGAAGACATATCATCTACGGGAGAACTTCTGGTTAAATCAAAACAAAACAAAGCACAACAACAATCAAAGCCCTACACAAATGCACACACCACAACAAAACACTCTTCTCTTCGTGATCCTCCCCCACCCAATTATCACCCATATTTTAGTTTGAGGATTGGGTAGAATAGTAGGTACAATGAATTATCTATTTGATGACATGTTTAAATGGCTCATATGAGCATGTGAAGTATGATCCTCTATTCTCTGCCAAACACAGAGGAGATAGGCCATGGAAGTAGGAGATATGTGTTGCTTAAGAGGCAAAGTGTTTTCTGAAACACAACTCTGAATTATAATAAAAAGGATCATCTTCAATAAAGGGGGCTGAGAGATAGTACAGTAGATTGGGCACTTGCCTTGCAAGTGGCTGACTCAGGTTTGATCTCCAGCACACCATATGGTCTCTCAAGCTACCAAAAGAGTGATCCCTGAGCACAGAACCAGGATTAATTCCTGAGCACTGCTGGGTGCAGCCCCCAAACAAACACACAAACATACAAAAGATACAAGGACTGTGTAGAATAACTTGTAAGCCATACTCACTCATACATTTCTCCTCATTCCATATTTCTAATATGTCCAGAAGAGAATTCCTCTGAGAAAAGGAATTTCTTTATAACATGATTAACCACACAGGACTTGGTGTGGCAGCGACTGTTACCACTAGAACTTCTGCAGATGAACCATGCTCTGTTCTTACAGAGGGAAATAAAAAGCAACATGTTCTCTAGTGTTTGAGGCATGCAAGGGGGGCAATTTTGCCCTCAGGAATGCTGCACTTCTCTCACTTCCTATTCTACCTGTCCCTCTCTTGGGTACTGAAAATGCCATCTACCCCCACCCCAACATGCTTTATTGAACTTTGGACTTCTGGAGAATGTAATTTGTTCCTTCTATCCCGAAAATGAGGCACAAATATAAGCACAGGCAACATTCTGTATACAGCTGGTATGGAGTAGGTGCTCCCAGGACCCTTTCATGCCACATGAAGTTTCTGTCCAAGACCCTCAGGTAAAGGACATCAGCTCAGGATCTGGGAGAGACGAGGAGAAGCCAAAAGTCTAGTACCTGTGAGGTGGGAAACTTCCACAGAGCTGCACAATGTACATGAAGCAAAAGGGAATTATCAGAGTTAGAGAGAGCTGTGCAGAGACCTAATTTCCAAATGCCTTTGATTGCTGAATTATGGGTCAAAAGATGGGATCTGGAAAGTGCTTCCAGGTATGATGGTAAATTTATTTTACATACAGAACTTGAACAAGGAATCTTTTCCAAAGAGGTGAAAGAATCCCTCTGCTAATAATATTAGTTGTTTTAAGTATAAAATGTCAGGGAAATGGATAAATAAGTCTCCTTGAAAAGAAAAGACGCTGACCAACATCACCAAAATACAAATCTATTAAAAACAGACCCTGTCTCCAAGGAATATTTCACATTACCTACGTATATCCAGGGAACGCAAATTTACACTTTCACTTCACATCTTTGTATTCTTGATATACATAAACTAGAACAAAGAACACATTTGTGATATCCAGCCTGGGACACCCTGCTTCGGGAAAGCAAGCTTCTTCTCAGCTGTGTTATTCTCTCTTTGCATGAACGTTTCTAATCACTGGAGTGAAAAAAAAAAAGGAGATTGGTATGAAGAAAGTAAGGGACTATCTCTAGGCCACCTGGGGCCACTTGTCCTGGATTTTTGAAACAGCTCTTCTGGAGTTTCGTTACCTACTGCAGACACTCCACGGGTCTGTTTCTGGCTTATAATCTGCAGGTAGGTACAAGGAATGTCACAGCCACAAGACAACCATGTCGGCACTTTGAGGCTAGCTGTGTATTTTTGAAGTGATGGTCAACACTGCCATAAAAGAGAATCTCTTGCCAGGCTTGAAAAGGAGCCAAAATTTCTTTATCTTTTTCACTAACACCTTGATGTGGGGGCTGTAGCTTGTGTTAATGAAGCCTCATCCGAGGGTAAGTCACTGGTGGTCTGCATCGGCATCCATGTGTTCAGCACAGGACTAAAACAAACAAACAAAAAAAGGACAGAGTTTTGAAGGCACTGAAGTCAAGACCTGACGTTGAGGGGTGGGTGAGCTTAGGGCACTAGATGACGGCATGTTCGTTCTGCTCGATGTTCCCCACAAGATCTTTGGTATCGCTGGTCCCGGGGCTCGATCGACTGTTGAAATAGAGGGTATTCTCAAAATTGTCCACCCGAGGAAGATGCACGCGCCTCTTCTTGAAAAAGAAATATGCAGCCAGCCCGGCAGCAGTCACGATCAGGAACACGACGACCACGACACCCGCCGTGCCAGAGGGTCTGGAAGGTTCCATCTTCTGCGTGTCGGCTACAAGCACACAGAACCATGAGTGAGTGAGTGGGGGTGGCAGAAGGGAGAGGGTCGAGGATGGGAACATCAGGGCAGCTTCCTTGTTTAAAAACCAGTAAGAGGACAAGTGTTCTTTCAAGTGACATTTAGCAAACAGAAAGGGCCAAGCAGCAAAAGTGAGAGCTGAGGACAGACATCCAGGATGATTGGGAATGTTACCATGATTACTTAGTTGTATGGAACTTTGACCAACCTAGGGAGCACTGAACTAGTTCACCAGAACTTTAAAATTATTTATTCTGGTTTGAAAATGGGGCTGGAATGATAGTCCTGCAGGTAAGCCTTGCATATAGCTGAAACGGTTTGATCCCTGGCATCCCATATGGGCCCCTGATCCTTGTCAGGAGCCATCCAGAGTGCGGAGCCAAGCATAAGCCCTGAGCACCGCAGGGGGTGACCTACAAACCAACAGAACAGAACAGAAAAACATCCAGAACTAAAAATAATTAAGTCTTAGCAAATTTAGGGCTGCTTATAACAGTGTTAGATTATGATGACGATGATGATGATGATGATGTGTGTGTGTACACACCTATATGAATAATGATGATGGCAATCAAAAGTTTGTGGAAAAATTATGGAAAAGAGAAAATAAGTGGTGTGAAAATTTAGTAAGTCACACCCATGCAACTAATAAGGAGGTAGGCAAGCCAGAAATCTCACTTGGTATTTGTTGTTGTTGGGCATATATATAAAAATATATATCATATATATCATTTAATATATAATCTATTATATATCATAATTAATATATTGTCACTGTCACTGTCCTCCCATTGTTCATCAATTTGTTTGAGCGGTCCCAGTGAGATTTGTTACTGTGTTTGGCATATCGAATACGTCATGGGTAGCTTGCCAGGCTTTGCCTTGTGGGCGAGATACTCTCAGTAGCTTGCCAGGCTCTCAGAGAGGGCGGAGGAATTGAACTCGGGTTGGCTGTGTTGGCCATGTGCAAGGCAAATGCCCTACCCGCTGTGCTATTGCTCCAGCCTGGTTAATATATTATATATAATATATTGTCTAATATGATATATTATATATTTAATATATTTATATATTATCTATATAATTTGTATTTGAGCTACAAGTAGTGGTGTCAAGGGCTTACTCCTGACTCTGTTCCAAGATCACTCCTGGAGGATTGAACTAAGACTGACTGTATATAAGGCAAATGCTTTAGCCCCTGTACTAACTCTCCTGCCGCTCACTGGATGTGTTTTAGCAGGCAATCAAATGAGTGAAACAGGATCAGTGATTGAATGCAATTATCCATGACATTATATCTTTTTTTGAAGTTCGTTTTTTAAAAAAAAGAAAATAAAAACACCACAGGAACCCTCGAAGAAGGTCTCCAGTGACTTTTTAGAAGGCAGTTCTTTCTAACACAGCAGCAAATGTCTTCAATACATTGTGTTGTAAAAACACCAACCCAGTTCCCCTATGTGATTTACTAGGGCTTTTATTCAAGGGAGCATGATGACAGAATGAAAGAGAGCTTATGTTGTTCAAGCCATTCTACCGAGAAGCAGAGGTACTGGAAGAGTTTCTTATGGTTTTAGAAATTTTCAACATAATTGAAATTTCATAATGATCTTACCTTTTGTTGTAGTTATTGTCTGAGTAGGCTCAGGATCAATAACTGTAAAATCAAAAATAAATTAAGCATATATAAAATTTATACTAATTATATAGTTATATAATTTTATGTGACTCATAGACAAGAAACATTGAATCTTCCACAAATGGTTTTGGTTACATGCCATGGGGGAGGTAGACAAACAGACATATAGATAGATTATAGATAGATCATAGATACCCTATGACAGATTCTTACTGCTGTACAGTTAAATATACTGGAATATCTGAAAATGAGATGATCCTCTTAGTTACATATAAGCCATATACTAACCCTCAAAATCTTCCCCAAACTACTGAATTTTAGGCTAGCAGTTTTTAAGTTGTCTAACTGAAGGTGGACATATTACAAGGTAACTAAATGAAGAGTTAAATAAGACTCTCACTGCCCCAAAGGGTCTGGTATCTTTGATTAGAGTTTTGAAAGATGAAAGAACTATGCAATCCTAAAATAGAAACACACAATGGTAAAGGAATATTCGTTGTTTAAATCTCCTCTCCTCTTTAACATCTCTACTTCTTGGGCAGGGTATTCTGTGGTGAGGTAGGACAATATAAATATGACTCAAGCCCAGACTATGTCAAATTACAGCACAAGCAATACCCCTGCCCCAAAACACTGTCACACAGTCTCAGAGAGAAACTTAACTGATATTGTATTATTATAGAATACATTCTGATGCTACAAAATCCAGGCTTCTCATTTTCCCAGGGTGGTTGGTTCTCCCCATCCTTCTAATGCCAGATGACTTTATAGGCTGGTTCTCCCAACATGCTGCAACTGTGTGAACCCCAAAATAAGGATATGTTCTTCTAAATGTATTGATAAAGCAAGATCATTATGTTGGATGGACAAAGAGTGTTTTCTGCTCAGATTTGCAGAGAGCAACTGATCACTAGGCCTCTAGATTTCCACTTTTAAAAAGAGAACTTAGAATCCCACATCTTGTGTCTCGATACTGGAAAGAAATGACAACTTGTGAATAGATGCACTAGAGAACAAATTTTTACTTACTTTTTGGTCTTTTACAAATAAACCCTTTATAGGAAGAACAATGAATATTACTCCAGAGTCCAGTAGTTGCTAACAAAGATACGCAATCGTTTCGTTCACCGGAGGGCTCTCCTACATTCCAGTTGACAAAGGAAACTGGGATGTTGTTTAACCAAATCCACATTCCTAATGATCAAGTAAAGCCAATAAAAATAAGAATTAGGGGCTGAAATTATAGAACAGTGGGGAGGGCTCTTGCCTTGCACACAGCTAATCCGGTTCAATCCCCAGCATCGTATGTGGTCTTCTGAGCACTGCCAGGAGTAATTCCTGATTGCAGAGTCAGGAGTAACCCCTGAGCATTGATGGGTTTGACGCCCTCCCCCCCCCCAAAAAAAAGAGTTAAACATAACCCATCTTAGGAATGTGGGATGGTACTCAGTAGTAGAGTTTAAGTTTGGAAACTCAGGGTTCAATTCCCAGAACACACACACACACACACACAGAATATGCAAAATTTATAAGTGTATTATTTTACTGTCACTGTCCTCCTGTTATTCATCGATTTGCTGGAGCAGGTCTAGTAATGTCTCCATTTTGAGACTTGTTGTTACTGTGTTTGACATATTGAATACGTCACGGGTAGCTTGCCAGGCTTTGCTGTGTGGGCGAGATACGGGCTCTCCGAGAGGGGCAGAGGAATAGAACCTGGCTTAACAGGGCTGACTGCACGCAAGACAAATGCCCTACCGCTGTGCTATCACTCCAGCCCAAGTGTATTATTTATACTGTAATAAATACTCATTCATAACCTGACTTAAGGTGGTTCTGGAGCCACACCCAGTGATACTCGGGGCTTATTCCTGGCTTTAGGCTCAGAGATTACTCAGGTATTACCCAGCATATGTAGTGCTGGGGATCAAACCTGGCTGAAGCAATAGTACAGTGTGTAGAGCTTTTGCCTTAAAGGTGATTTGATCCCCTCGTCCTATATAGTCCCTGAGACCTGCCAGGAGTTATCTTTGAGCACAGTCAGATATGGTCAAAATACCAAGGGGGAAAAAAAAAAGAAAACTGGGTCAACTATGCACAAGGCAAGCGCCTTAGCTGTATCTCTCTGGTCCTTATAATCAGACATTTTAGCAGCAATAATATAATGACAAATTATAAGTGAAAAAGATATTGAGAATATAACTTTATAACTTTAACTGAGATTTTGTTCCAAATTAGAACACACACACATAATTATCCCTAAGGTATTTTTTTCCGGCAAAAGATAAAAAATATATTCAACACTTCCAGAACCAACATGGCTTCAAAAAATATTCTTTTAACCTAGAAACATTATACATAACATAGAAAATGATTTTAAATTCCCGTTATTATCTCATATGAAAAGATAAGTTTGAATTTTCAAACTCTTTACAAATTCATCATTATTTGGGGGGCAGGCTTCTAGATCTAAAATCTCATTTTCCCTAAAACACTCTGAAATAGTTTAAGTGATCAAATTACCTTCCACATTTCTGAATAATCCTATCCAAAAGCTGGTTTTGCTCTGAAGAGGCTCAACCCGGTAAGCCAGGAAATCTGCTTCCGCGGCATTTTCAATGAAAGCCAAAGTGGAACCTGCAAAACATAAAAGAGTAAACATTAAGCAAGGACACTTAAGTAGCTGAAAATATTTCTATAATAACAGTACTGCTATTAAGAGCAATACAGAGCATTCCAACATCTCTCCTTACAGAAAAGACCATAAAAGGATACGTGTGGTCAGAATTTCAGTTTCCATTCAGTGATTCTGATTTTACAGTATCCCTGGTGAGCAAGAGTGAATGACTGGGGTAGGAGAGGCAAACAAGCAGCTGTTGGTATCTACCTTAAAGAAGGTAATGGCTGGGGGGTATGGTGCCGCCAGCAGGTCAACCTGTACCTGTGAGGTGAGTGCATCAGCAGCCTGATGGCGCCTTCAGACTTCCAGATACCCCAAAATTGCTGCTGTGCCTTTGACCAGACCCCAAAAACTTGGGGCAAAGTTTACCAAGAAAGTAAACGGCCAAAAGTTAGGTATGTGGGAGACACACCCACAAACCACCTCCGGCTCAGCTATATAATTGGAGGCATGGCCTCTCTGGTTCCTGATTGAACTGCTTAATGGTCATGATCCCAGAGACTCAGAAACAAATCTCGAAACCCAAAGGCTTTTGGCAGAAATGCGTCCGGTCCCTGCAGTAGGTTACCGGTACTGGGCCAACCCAAGTGAGAATAGGTTTCATGCCTTGGCCCGTTCCCCCTAGCAGCCCGGTGGCCACCATCCTCCAGAGGCTACTGAACAGTCAGGTTTGGGCCCTCAGTGACGAGACGCAGGGCCTCACGGAATGGGGGTGGAGCCGGTCCTGTCCTCCCCACCCCAACGAGACCCCAAGTCATCGACCACGAATGGCCCCTCTGGCTCCTGATCAAGCTGCTTAATGGCCATGATCCCAGAGACTCAAGAGCAAATCTCAGAACCCAGCAGGTTTGGGCAGAAATCCCTCCAGATTTAAGTGTTAAAATTTTGGAATTTCAAAATCACGCGGCCACTACTGCAGCCACGCAACATCATATGTTATTCATAACCAGCAATAGAAAACAAATTGTCTACTGTTGCCTTTTCAGCAGATCTGAGTGTTAGGGTAAAGTTTCAAATAATAATGGTGGGTCTGGTGTCAAAATATTGAATGTGATCAAAGTAGAGAGAGAGAGTAATGTGGAAATCATCTGCCCCACAGGTAGGGGGAAGGCGTGGGATGGGGGTTGTTGGGGGTGGAGAATGGGCACTGGTGAAGATATGGGTGTTTCATTGTACGACCAAGACTTCGACCCAAAAGCTTTGTAACTGCTCTCATGGTGATCCAATAAAAAAAAATTAAAAAAAATAAAAGATAACGGCTTCTGGCTCTCACTCGGGAATCACTCCTTGCAGAACCTGGGAACCATATACACTGCCAGGATCAAACTCTGGTAGGCTGCGGGCAAGGCACGCACCTTAGCAACCCTTGTTGTATCTCTGCAGCCCATTAGTGTTTTCAGATTCCTGATGTTTTCACACTCAGGGTCATTAGGAGCACAAAAATGACAGGACAGATAGCTATGGGCTTTCCAGCATTAAGAAAGTGGCTACTTACCCATTCGGAGACATTCTAAGGAAGCCTGGCCCCAATTTCTTGTGAATGATGACTCAATATAGTAGCAGTGACCATGGAAGGGAATCCAGGCTGAGTGGTCTTTCTCGGGACACCGTCCAGGCAGCTGAGGGGGCTCAGTGGCAGGGATCTCTGTTAGCAGGAAGACATACTAAATGCAAAACAGTCCAGAGTTTCCACAAGATTGAAAACGAGATTTTAGCTGGGAAGGGAAAGTATCCCATAGCATTCTTTTTGTTTTAAGGTTCTAATCATAATTATTTAGATCTGCCACTATTAGGATTTGGACCTTCCTTCCTTCCTCCTTCTTCCCTCCCTCCCTCCCTCCCTCCCTCTCCCTTCCTTCCTTCCTTCCTTCCTTCCTTCCTTCCTTCCTTCCTTCCTTCCTCCTTCTTCCCTCCCTCCTTCCTTTCTTCCTCTATCCTTCCTTCTTCCTCTTTCTTTCTTTACTCTTTTTTTTAAAAAAATTGACAAATTTGAATAGAATTACTATGGTATAGTGACAACTGATCACATATGTAATAAAGAGTTCTCCATAGTCAACCCAAAATAATTAGCAAAGGAAGTCCCCACCATCCAAAACATTCTTCTTTCTCGAGATCCTAACCTCGCTAAATGCTTTCCAGCTATGTATGACATCTGAACTATATACTTAAATGCTAGACTCAGAATTTTAAGGCTTGACCAATGTCCAGTTCTCAGGCTGGATTCTAGGATAGTATCATTAATATCACTGATTCTGATAATTTATATATGTACTCTGATGAAATTATTCTGATATAAAGGTATCATTGACATAGAAAGGGTTTGTAATTTTCTGTGCTATTTGATCATCTCCTTAACAAAAATTCAGAGATTAATAAACATTCAAGAAATTCTAACAATGAAGAAAATTTTCTTGCTACTTTAATCTCTGAATATTCATTTATTACCAAGTCAGTCTTTTCTTAGGTGAAGGAATAAGCTTTATGTTATTTCAACTACCAACACATGTCATGACTGTCTAATAATACCAACAACCCAATGTCTTCACTTATTGAGAAAATTTCAAATCCCATGATTGCTTTTGAAAATTTAATTACCACTAGATCTTTTGCAGAGGAAATGATAACTTTCATTGCAGTGCATTGTCTTCCAGTAGCCATCAACATCCATATAAACACAGGCTGATTTCAATCTGGGCTCATCGGCTCCCCAGTTCGTGTACCTCAGTCTCCATTTATCAGCCCAAACATATTCATTATTGGTCTGCAAGAACAGAAATGGCCATAAGCAGGGAGCCTCATCTCATTGAGTAAACACCAAAAGGTCCAACTGAGGAGCGAGGAGTTCTCAAGACTATTCTCACCAAGATTCTTCAATGTCTGTGAATCAAATGAACATAACAATCACTTCTACTCACAGAAGCTCAGTAAAAGCAGACTTTAACATTTTATTGGAGAAGAGGCTTCCCAAGCAATGCTCGAGGGACCCTGGAGACCCCTCATGGTGAACATCAGTGGACAAGGACAGATAGTTCAATGTTGGGGCTGCTCATGCAATGGCTTGTAAGTCTAGGGGAGCTAGGCAGCCACTAGGGCCACCACAGAAGTGCTAGAAGCCATCAGGGTCAGCCTCTGAGTTGCTGAAGTGGGGATACAGGGGAGAATCAGCACTGGGATCAAACTTAGAAACTTGCCAGTGTAAGGCATGTGCTCCAGTTCACCAAACCCCCTTCCTGTCTCTCTGGTCCAATAGAAACTTTCTTTTAAAAAGCACTAACTGGGCCGGAGAGATAGTACAGGGGTTAAGGTCCTTGTAGATGGCCAATCATGGTTCAATCCCCACCACCACACATGGTCCCTTGAGCACCTCCAGGAGTGATCCATGAGCACAGAGCCAAGAGTCAGCCCTGCACACAGCAAAGTGGGGCCCAACCCCTCCTCAAAATTAAATCACATACAAATTAATTGATAACATCAAAAGTAGTACTTACCCGTATTATCCTTTTAATGGTCTAAGATAGATTTTACAGGTTAATTCCTAAGCATAGATGACATTTAACATTTATCTGAGATAACTAAACTTTTAAATAATTCAAACACTTGTCTCCCTTTTAGTAGCATTATCTAATTTGCCAAGCCAATTACCGAAGAGCGAATGACCAAATCAAAAACACATCATTCCAAGTCAAGCTGGATGCTGTCCTACCATGGTCAACCAAAGAATGCTTACATAATAATAAACTCCATTGATATCAGGAGGAGAGTAGAATTGTTTTAGTTAAAAATGTTGGTATAGTGGAAAGCCACTTTATGATTTTGTAAAAAAAATTAAAGCCTATTATTTTAAACTTCTAAGAGAATTGTGTCCACATCTCTGAGAAGAAACGAGATGATTATCAAGTAAATTACTATCACAGTGAACATAGACTTAGAAAATGTGTTGCCTAAACTTGAAATCACAAAAATCACTGTGGAACTGCTAAGACGAAAATAGTCACTTACCTGCTCAGTCAACACACAATGTCTAAAATGCAAATTTTGACCTCTCAATCACAGCACTGGAAGTTCTACAACATCTAATACCAACTTATTTTCCTTTTTTTTCTTTTTCTATCCTTTTCCCTCTTCCTGGTATTGTTCCCTTAAGTTCTACCATCCTAGAACCACACCTTGAGATCCACCTTTATATCAAAAGCTCTCTTGGTCCTCCCCCCCCAACCCGCTAGTCCCTTATCTTTCTGTGGCATTTTGTGTGTGTGTGTGTGTGTGTGTGTGTGTGTGTGTGTATCACTTTGACACTGCCAGAATTATCTCTTAATTACTTGTTGACTTGTTGACATCTTTGTTTTACTAAGAAACTTGCTAGATGACTAGATTGGTTGAAGAATGGACAGGTGAATGTTAGAGAAGATTGGCTTTAGGAATATTTCGTTTGTCCCTCAGCTCTGTGCTTCATTCTTTACCCCAACCTTCTCCAGTTCCTTTTCTCTAACATAGAACCTAACAGCAATGAAGCATTTCTAATACATGGTTGGAAGCTCCACAGCTTAAGGGACAAAAGAACTCTAAAATGGCTTGTCTCAAAAAAATTACCTGTGTTTTGGGTATATGTCTATACCTTTCACTCATATCACTAGTGTAAATGAAGCCCTGATGCCTGTTCATTCATAACTTCTCTTCTTCCCCCCTTGATTTTCTTCCTTCTCTGTCTGTCTCCTCTCTAAACACTAGAGTCAAGGATGTCTAAGTATCCTCTTTTTACTACAATACAGTGCCTCATCTGGTATTCTATATTCCACAAATAAGTGAGATCATCCTGTGTTTGTCTTTCTTCTGTCTTACTTCACTCAACATGATATCTTCCCGTTTCAACCATGTTGCAGCAAATTACATGATTTCATCATTCCTTGCTGCATAGTATTCTGAATTGGGATGAGAGGGAATCAGGGAACACTGATGGAGGGAATGACACTAGTAGAAGAATTGTTGTTGAAATATTGTTTGCCTAAAACATAACTATCAGTAACTTTGTAAATCATGGCTCTTAAATAAAAAAATAGATAAAATAAAGTATCCATGACCTAGAACTCTGCCTCTGACCTGCTTCCTTATTATTTCCCCATGTATGGTTGCAGTCATGACATTAGAAAGAGGTGACAAATAGAACTATTTAGATAGAGAAATGATTTTAATATTCAAAGTAATCTGACCAAAAATACATATTAGATAAGCCTTTACTGGATTCCCAACATACTTCACTAGATTAATTATCATTCAAGCCGTTGGGTTCTGCTTGTATCATCTCAGACTATGCAGAACGCTTTCAACAAACCCCAAATCCTCCAGTGAATGAACAGAAAAAAAAAGTTTCGTCAAAATGGTGGATGGCATCAAGCTTCCTACTTCCTGTACTTACCATGTTACTGTTCAGAGCGATCCAGATGGGCTCGGACTGCACTTGTAGCCACTGCAGCCACACAAAGGCATTGCTGTAGGGGTCTAGGATGCTGGCGATCAGGGAATGATGGAGCTTGCAATAATCAGCTGCTTCATGCCATGGCAACTTTAATTTTGTAAGGGAATAGCTACTCTCACCAAGTTTAATAAAGTCATCTGTTGGAACTGTAGTTGCAAGCTTAGTCAAGGAAGGGTCTGGAATAAAAAGACAATCCTCATTAGTATTTTCAATCATTACGTGAATATCATCAGTGTCAGACTATGATGTCTTTGAAATATAAAAAAAAATTGATCTTCATGAAGAGTATCAACCCAAAACATGGGTATTTAAAATATTTTTCATGACTTCATAAGCACCAGAAAACAAAACTCAATTTTTACATTAGTATGCATACATTATTATGCCTGTATGAACCAAGTAATACCTAAATAGCATTAAGTGAGATATATGACCAAATTTCTAAACTATACAAAAAGATTTGCAAATTTAAGGGGATGTGGTATCTGGATGAAAGAAAAGTCATAAATTAATCCCATTTATTAGTCTCCTAAGTTAAAAAATATCCATCATCCTGCCATTGCTGATTTTTCAATGTTGGTTTAATTTCAGGGTCAAACACAGTCTTTTTTCTTCTTCCTCAATCTGTTCCACTCTAGATCCATAAATTTTGCATCTGTTTGTATCTCTTTAACTCCATGTATGGGTGATGCACCTTTAAGGAAAGGTCTTAAGTTCTGGGAAAAAGCTATACACCAGTCTCGGTTCATTTAACCTTGATCTCAGGATTAAGCCTTAATCTTACCAATGAGTCTATGTCCTTCATCCAGCTCCCCCCACTACCAACCCCCAACCAATCTCTGCTTTTAGTCCACACACACTGAGCCATGTGAGGAAAGGTCTGCAAAAGAAGTGAAATCTGGTCTGTTATCTATTCTTTGGAGCCTAGGAGCTAAAAAAGGGCTTTTTGAAATCCTTTTCAATGCCAAGGGTGGACAGGTGTGGGTAGCGGATAAGGTGTCGGAGGCGAAACTCAGATTCTTGCACATTCAAGGCATGTGTTTACCACTGGAACTAGGTCCCAATGCCAGAATAGATCTGTCACTTTAGTTATTTAAAACTCATTTAAAAACTATCCTGGAGGGCTGGGGAGAAGGTACAGGAGTTTGAACATGCTCCGACCCTAGAACAACTTTTAAAGAAGCTTTTGTTAGGTTTTATTTTGCTTTGGGGGCCACACCTGGCAATGCTCAGGGGTTGCTTCTGGCTCTGCATTCAGGAATTACTCCTGGCAGTGCTTGGGGGCCATATGGAATACTGGGGACTCAAACCTGGGCCACGTGCAAGGCAAGCAACCGACCCCCTGTACTATCACTTGGGTCCCATTTTAAATGGGTTTTCAAAAGCTAAAGAAGAACATCTCATGACGTGTGAACAGTACATGAAATACAGTATTGTCACACACTCTTGTTTATTTATTGAGTGTTATTGTCTGTAACCCCAGCAGAGTAGAGTGGCTGAAACAAAGATTGCTGACTGGAAAAGCCAAAACCATTTGCAATCTATCTCTTTACAGAAAAAGCTCTCAAAACCTGCTTTAGACTTCCTGTTGGTTTTCCTGACCAACTCTGTCCTGGCCGGATCCCTGATCTGGCCACTTCCTATCAACCCAACTCAGCTTTTACCAGCACAATTACCAAGCTTTGTCATGGATAAGCTTGGGGAGGGGACAGCTTCACTTCAGCAAGAACAGCTGCTCGTTTTTTTTCTCCCCTGACGTTACTGCCCCCTTGTGTTGGTAGGAAATCATTAAACCAACCGATCTAGGCCAGGAGGCTTAAAATGTTACATCTGGTAGACACTGAGCTGTCTTATCAATTTCCAGCTTTGAGAGATCTGGGTTTGGCAAAATATCAATGGAAAAAGTGGGTTGACTAAAAGTCGTAATAAATAAATAAATCTTGGGGCACAACTACATAAAAGGCTTCATGGAAGGCTGTATACTATAGGAAACGTAGCTCATCTAACCATTTGTCTGTAAAAATACTCAGAATCATAAAGAAAACTTAGATATGATCTAGTCATTTTAGGTGATTACATTGTTGGTAGTACATATGCAACATGTTCTTTAAAGTTTTCCTTTTATTCCTGTGTATTCATATTATAAATTCATTTGTTCTTGTTCAATACATTCACATGAATTCACATGAATTCACATTTTATTCATTTATGCATAAATGAAGACAGTTTTTAAGTTACAATTTTCCCTATATTCTATGGATTAAAAAACTTAAATATAAGAATAAACATTAAATATATTTAATAAACATATTAAACCAGATTTTTCTATTTCCAATGAGATGTTTTGTAAAATATAGCAAAATACAATAATACAATGAACATAAAAAGTCCTTAATTCCACTACACACAGACAGGCACTAGTCTTACTCTGATGCATTTAAGTAGGCTTTGTTGGTTCCACTTTTTAAAAGAAGTTTACAGTAGTTCTTTTGTTACTGTTGCTCTGCCTTTAAAAGTCTATGAATTTTTTTCTGCCTTTTTTTAACTTTAACTCTTTTTTCACGGAAGTCTTCCTTAATCCTAATTCACTGAACATTTTGAGTAAATATGCTCTCACTTATGCTCATTATTAGAAAGAGAAGACCTTAAACAAGCTTGTGCATCACCATTTCCTCCCAGAGGGAGGCGCTCTCCTTGACCTGAAGAACAATGGCACAGAAGCCTTGGGTGGATGACAGGGTTGCTCAGAGTTAGGCTGAGGGACCCAGCAGGTAAGAATTTCTGCAGTGCTCCTATGCAATCTTAAGAAACATTGCACGATTTTCAGTCATAGTGATAAGGTGACATCCTGATTTCCAAAACAGTGTAACACAAGGCTGGCTCTGGGAGGACAAGCTCTAATCTCGAACCTCAAACTCTTCCTCTTGCCTCTGCACATCCGCTGCACCTGCACCCTCAACCTTTTATCTAATCTACCTTTGAACTTCTGCCCTTATGCTTTTGTGCACAGGGGCTGTTGCCCTGGTGGTGCTTGGGGGACCTCGTGCTGCTGGGGATCAAACCCAGGCCCCCGGCATACAAACCTTGCACTCTTTACCACAGAGCCCTCTCCTTGGCTCTGACCCTGTGCTTTCAAAGACAGGAATTTCTATTAAATTTCACTCGAAACCAGTACTTGTCCAACCATAATCTTGATTCTCAGTTTGCTGCACTCTGTTTTCTTCTCTTTGTCTATTTTGGCTTTCTTAGATTAAAAGAAGGCGGCAAACTGGAAGCCTCACACACTAAGACACAGAATACAGAACAAACACTGAGGTACAGGTGCTATATGTGGCAACAGTTCTAGAAATATGAGTGTCCAAATATGAAGTCTTCTGCTTGGACATGAAAAGGAATAGAGGAGGGTTGGGGGGAAACAAGGGAGGGAGGAAGGAAGGAAGGAAGGAAGGAAGGAAGGAAGGAAGGAAGGAAGGAAGGAAGGAAGGAAAGAAGAAAGGAAGGAAGGAGGGAGGGAGGGAGGGAGGGAGGGAGGGAGAGAGGGAGGGAGGGAAGGAGAGATGGAAGCAAGGAAGGAGGGAGGGAAGGAAGGAAGGAAAGAAGGAAGGAAGGAAAGAAGGAAGGAAGGAAGGAAGGAAGGAAGGAAGGAAGGAAGGAGAGAACGAAGGAAAGAAGGAAGGAAAGAAGGAAGGAGGGATTGAGGAAAGGAGGAGGGAAGAAGGGAAAGAGGAGGGAGGGAGGGTAAAGGAAAGAAGGAGGGAACAAGAAGAGGGTAGGTAGAGAAAGATTAGGCAGAGGAAGACATCCCAAATATATACCAATGGAAAATAAAATTTCAAATTCATATTGAATTTGCACAAAACTCTGGCAACAAGTAATGAAGGCAAATATGAATAAATCAGAGAAAATGAGACCCTTTTTTCTGTTCATACAATGAGTTCAGGTAAGATCAATGGAACTTGATGTGCTTTTGAAGGACAGATCATTTTTAAAATAAGATTTAAAAAAATATTTTTTAGGTTCATGACAAAATTGAAGAGGCCATCTTTTTAAAACATGAATGTAAAGTCCCCAGTTCTTGGGGGCTGGTAAAGATCAGCAAACTTACCAGAAGGCATCTGGCATATGTAGCCTTGTGTGCTGTCACAGTTGTCATCCATCCATTTCCCCGCATCCCTTAAATTTCCTCCAATAATAACTGCACAGTCAGCCTGTATATTTTTTTACAGAGAAAGGAAAAAATTGTGTGAATGGCAATTACCGCAGTGAATTCATGAAAAAGCCAGCAGCGACGCTTTCTCTCTCCCCATCAAAGGAGAAGAGGGTAGGTAGAGAAAGCTCAGGTAGAGGAAGACATATCCCAAATATGGACCAATGGGAATAAAATGTCAAATTCATGTTGAATCTGTAAAAACTCTGGCAACAATTGATGGGGGACAAATATTAATAAATCAGAGAAAACAAGACCCTTTCATTCAATGGCATATTCAACTCCTCCTTACTCTCCAAGAAAATCCTTACCCTGAACTCTTGTTGTCTTCATTGGAAACCCAGTAACCTTGGATCCATGGTGGAGAAAGGGCTGAGAAACTTTCCTGTGGGACCTTCCATTCCGTCCCTGATCCCTTTCCTTCATGGCTATAGTTGTATCAGCCTCCTGGCCTCTAGCCTCATTATCCCATGAGCCTTCACACTCAGGAGCGCCCCACATTTCTAAGATTCTCTACTTGTCTTCATCCCCCTTCATTGCTCTTCCTGACTTCCATTCTCCTGGTTCGGAGTCTGTTCTACTCCACAAAACCTGTACACACAGGGATGTTTCTGTCTCAAAGTGTCAACTGATTCTTCTCCCTCACACTCTTAGTCTCCTCCCTTTGACATGGTAATAAATGGTATGCACATTTTGATTCCTTATTTGTTGGACACAAATTTTATATTTGGATATGTACTAAGAAAAGTGTGCTAAGTTCAACACAAATCATGTTTGTTTGTTTTTGCAAGACAGTGAGATTACAAATGCTTAGTGTTGTTTCTGCTATTCTCCTTTTCTTTGCTATTTTTTTAAAATTTTTTTTTAATTAGTGAAACACCATGAGGTACAGTTGTAGATTTACAATTTTTTGTGCTTGGGTTTGATTACACAATGATCAGATACCCATCCCTCCACCAGTGCCCATTTTCCACCACCATGGATAATATCCCCCCCACCCCCATCCCCCCATCCCCCCCTGCCTCTGTGGCAGGGCAATCCCCTGTGTTCTCTCTCTCCTTTGGGTGTTGTGGTCTGCAAAAGAGGCATTGAGTGGCAAACATGTTCAGTCCATAGTCCACTTTCGACATGCATCTCCCCTCCTGGGAGGATCCTCCAAACACCCTTTATTTGGTGCTCCCTTCTCTATCTGAGCTGCCCTTTCCTCTAGAATGCCCGACTGGCCACTAAGCTATGGAGTAATCCTCCTGGTGCTGATCTCAGCTATTCTTGGGTATTAATCTCATATTTTGTTACTTTATGTCCCCCAGATGAATGCAATCTTTCTATGTCTATCCCTCTCTTTCTGACTCATTTCGCTTAGCATGATACTTTCCATGTTGTACCACTTGTATGTAAATGTCATGACTTCATCTTTTCTAACAGCTACATAGTACTCCATTGTGTAGATGTATTTCTTTGCTATTTTTATACATTTTATTTTCATATAGTAGTTCACAATAGTTCATTACAGATAATATTCAAACACCTACCCCACCATTAAGCATCTTCCCACCGCAACAAGAGGGAAGTGTTTGAAGGTTGTTGTATTTCATTCTGGAGCCATTTAAGCCCATATATAAGAGAATACAAACAAGTATGTTAAAACCAAACAAATGTGTGCTACTTTAGTTAAATCAGTAGGCTAGAGTACTCCAGGAAATTCTGAATCTCTCTCTTCCGGGAGCTTTATTGTATAGTATCTGGATCTTGGCCATTGTTGATGAGATTACATGGCGCCAGGGGCAGTTTGTGGGTGTGACTGCCAAGCTACTGGAAAACTGGGGAATTTCTTCTATTCTTAAAGTTCTGAAAGCAGTTCTGATAATGAACTTGCTTTTGCTTTTACATAAAGCTTGCTTTCCCACTGAGGTATTTCTAAGCATCCCCACAATACCATCACCACAGCACCCTACTTTATCTTCTTACATTCCCAGTTCTATCTGTAAAGATTAATTTGATTTTCAGAAAGTTCAAAAAATTTATTTACATTAAAATGACTCACCCGTCACCAAATCTTTGGGCTAATTTGGTGGATCCTTTTGCTCAGATCCACCAAATTAGCCCAAAGATGCTGTTTTGATCACAACTTTTATTTCCTGCTCAAATCTTTATTTTGTTCCTTTATCTGAATGCCCAATTCTCTCATAGGGCATCTAAGTTACTCTAAATTTTTCTTTCTATCTTCAGAAGTGTGCCCTTCTGTCTTCTTTTCTGCATAAAACTTTTCTAAAGTGGGGCTAGAGAGACAGCACAGTGGATAAGGTTCTTGGATTGTACATGGCTGACGTGGCTTGACCCCTGCTACTCCGTAAATTCCCCCAAGACTCACCAAGAGTAATCCCTGAGTGCAGCGCCAGGAGTGAATCCTGAGAACTACCAGGCATGGTCAAGGGAAATAGAGCCACGTAGAGGAGTGCCAGGTGCCATGGACTCCTGCCCAAATCCATGTACCTTTTTTTGTCTGAAGGGCTTTGTCACCTTATCCACAAACACGGCCCATGGCATTCTTCATCCCCTGAATAACTTCCCTAACTTTAAGGCTGAAGAAAAGAACCCCTGAGCACATTCATTTCTACTTCCCTTGACCTCCACAAAGATGAGACTGTGCCCTCCCAGAGTGTCTTCCCCGTGAATTCCACAGTGATTCAGAATGGGAAGCTACTATTCTGCAGCCTCACTTTCACTTTCTCCATGCTACTGACCCTCCCATCTGGCCTTCCTGCCTTGCCTTCTATTCTTCCCTCCCTCCCTTCTTGTCTTCCCTTTAACTCTTCCTGCCCACACTATTCAATGGGCCACGTGGGATTGGAAACCAAACTGAGGACTTCACATAGCGATGACATATGCGCTCTCCTTCTGAAGCAGACTCCCCTGACCCACCAGCACCACCTTTGTCCTATAAAGGACAAAGAAGAAGTGTGTGGAAGAAGGCAGAGACTCTGAAGACAAGATAATTCCAGAAGTAGCAGTAGCTTACAGGCTTCTGTCCCAGACAGTTCAAGAGCTTTAAGAGTTTAGGAGCAGCTGAGGCAAAGGAAGTCACTTGGGATGGGTCCCAGTGTGAGTCCTGACTACAGGACAGTCCAGCTGGGACACAGCGTTCCCACACCCAGTGGCCAAAGAGTTTCTACTAGCGTCACAGTCCTTCCTTGAGGCCGCTGGAGTTAGACAGTGAAACTCTGCAAGAAACTCAATGGAGGGAGAATTATTTTTCCCCACATAAGACCAAGCCCGAATACAGAGACCAGCTGAAACAGACACTTACGTCTTCAAAAGAAATGCTGCTCCTCCGTCCTCCTGGGAACCCTTTGCCCCAGTTTGTGTAGTGTACCCCTCGGCCATCTGTCCAGAGGAATGTGTTCTCCGAATTGACATCGTTCAATCCAGTCCAAGCATTAAACGAGGAGTCCTTCATGTGATAGGTGATAAATGCTGAAAAAAAAAATTCACAATATTTTAAGCATTAGGGATTGGTGGTGGGGTGGGGAGGAGGGGATTCTAAATACTTTCATCTTCAAATGTCGAACCCATGCTTAAAGTGTGTAGTCTGAGTTATGAGCAGTCATCATGGAAATAAACACAACCTAATGTCTACTTCATTTTCCTTCTTCACCTTTGGACTTTGAAAACTTTCTCACAGTAAAGGTCTAGTTTGGCTCACTGCAGACAGCGGGACCAGTGGGACCCTGCTCAGGGACCAGGGTACTCTGGGAGGGAGAGGCAGAAGGAGCCTGAGGACCAGCCCCTGGCCACCGCCCATTAATACACTCCCCCAACCACCAGAAGAGAGACACTTCCTTACTCACATGCCAATTTAATGGGTGAGTAAGTTTCTAGAAATAATGGAATCTGATGATAAGAACTGAGGGAGAATGGAGAGTGCTCGTCCCCTAGGAAAATTCTGAAAAGAAAATTCTTTTTTTAAATTTTTTTTAAATTTTTTAATTTTTATTAGTGAAACACCATGAGGTACAGTTGTAGACTTACAAATTTTTGTGCTTGGGTTTCAGTTATACAATGATCAAGGGAGCTCAGATAGTGAAAAGAAAATTCTGTCAGGGTCAGCAAGTAGGGTGCTTGCCTTGCATGTGGCCTGCCTGGTTTCAATCCTGGCACCACACATAGCGTCCTGAGCTCTTCCAGGAGTGATCCCTGAGTACAGAGCCAGGAAGTAAGCCCTGAACACAGTCAGGTATGACCCCAAAACAAAATAACAACAAAATTATCACTACAAGAAACATTTGGGCCAAAGAAAGACTAAGGCACTTGCCTTTCATGCCCTAGACTTAGTCCCTGGCACTGCGTAAGGTCCCCTAAGCACCACCAAGAATGATCCCTAAGCAAAGAGCCAGGAGTAGGCCCTGAGCACCGCCAGGTGTGGTCCCCAACAAGAATATCAACAAACAACCCAAGAAGCCTCTTGCTGTCAAATTATCAGTATCTGGGTTTTGTCAAAGAAAAGGAGCTATTTTGGGTTTTTTTTTCCTGCTCCCCCCCCCCCCACTCTGAGGAGTTAGCTGCTGAGTGTGCAAAATGCTGGGATGTGGGGGCATTTTGGCACTAAGTGCTGCCATCCTGGGTAAAGGGAGATGTAGAGAAATGCAGAGAGAAGCTAACAAATACGGCCTCTGGTTTCCTCTATGATTCTGAAGCAGAGGAGGTGACTGACCGCCGGCCAGTGTCCACGGCCCTCCCCTCTAAAGTCCACTCTACAGACCTTCCTTCTGTGGCCAACACCAGCACTTGCACGAACCCAACAGCTGCTTCCAAATATCCAATGCCAAAAATGCTGCTTCTGAACATAACTCAGAAACCCAGAACTCAGTGCTAGGGGTGACCAACAGAAAATATGCAAGAGAAGGACACAGTGATCTGTTCATTTGGAAAGAGACACACAGTTGCTCTTCTTCAGAGTGGTCGGGGCAGGTAACCGCTCTGCTCAGATATTTCTTATCCCTACTGAAAAGGAAAATGATGTTTTTTCTTTCAATATTTCTGAGGGGAAGAAGAACCTGGACAGTTATTTATCCTGGTTTGGTTTTATTTCCTCAACAAGATCAGAGCCTTTACTCTGCCCCCCGATTTGAAATGAAATGTGGATAAGCTCTACCTGCCAGCATTTCAGTGCTGACACTTTTTTTTCCTGCCAAAGACCACAATATGTATTCAACAACGTGGGCTGCTTTTGCCAGGAATAATGTTATTTTATTTGAAAATTGTTTCCTTCTGCACATCTCTATTACCCAGGTTCTAATTTTGTGATGCCAGGAATAAGCATTTTGTGGTTAAGGGAGGAAATCAATTACTGTGTTTTTCTGTTGGGTAGCTGTCCCTGAAATGTAGTAGGCAGTTAGAGAAATGGGAATATGACATTCTTAAGGTTTGTCTTTCTTTCTTTTTTTTTTCCTCTGAGTATTATGGTTTGACCCTTTTCAGTGTCTGGCAAGCTACTGAACTTATTGAAGGTTCTCAGTGAAATCTTGGCACATGGATGTATATTGTGCTTGAAAGAGCCCTTGGGACAATGCCACACAAATTTCTGGGATCTGCCCTCTTCATTATTTTTTTGAGTAATGCTAGTTTTTCAGTGCATGATTTTGAACTCAAAGACTCTCAGAGCCAAAAAAAAAATCAAAAAGGCGCTCTGGGAAATTAAAATGAAAATCCGTTCAGCCTCCACCTGTTTCCCAACAACACCCATATACATTCCCATGTATAACAAACATTGCCATCCCACATTCATTGAGCATGTGTGTCCCCAGCATCTGAGGACCTTCCAATAGAACTGTTTTCCCTGACCTTCAGAACACCCATGAATCAGCCCAGCCTACCAAGAGTTTGGTTGTTTGCTTTGTGGGGGCCAGGCTGGGCCATGCCCAGGCATTACTTCCAGCTCTGTGCTCAGGGATCACGCCTAAAGGAGCTTGGGGAGCACAACAGAGTACCAGGAATCGAGCCTGGGTCAGCCACTTGCAAGTACAGGAGCCTTAACCACTGTGCTAGCTCTTTGCCTCCCCCCTCTCCTGTCAGTTTTAAGTTCATGAATGACTTTCTAATTCTGAACCTTGATTGATTTCCCCTAATCACATTCACTGAACCTCTCTTCCTCTTGGAGTCACTTGAGATGTGCCACTTGGGATGAGTCATTTCAAAGACTACATCAACTCTTCCAGGTGCTGAGAGGTCTCTCAAACATCCCCTGCCCCTTGCTTCTGCAGGGACCAAGACCTTCATCTCTACTGGACCAACATTGTCCTTCAAGGGATGAGTTACAAAGTCCACACGACCATTTAGTTTAGGTCAGGGCAAACAAGAGTCCTTGTTTTCAGCAATAATGTCTTGAATCTGAGATCTGAGTTTCCTTCCCCCTTCTCCCTTGGGCTCTGGTTTGTCCTTGGATTTTATCGAAAGTTTTTTTTTTGTTTTCTCCAATTGGTTCAACGTTCTTATTTAGAAATCTGTTTTATAAATGAAAAATGGTAATTGGGAATTCAGTCATCTTTTGCTTTATTCCTAAAAGCACTATGTTTGTTTGAGCCTGAGAGCCACAGAAAGATTTAATGAAAGCAGAATGAAATAAGATCTAATTCTACAGGGCACAGAAGGAACAGAATTCCACATCCTGACCTCTCAGGCCTGGACACAAGGCTCTCAATGCCACATTCTCTCTCACTGGTAGAGTGCTGAGACCTGTTTCATGGCATGATTAGGACAATGGAAAAGAACTTTATACATAAAGACTTAGCATGGCACCTCCACTGAATAAGAGTTCTCAATGTCTTTGACTCCTCCCTTCCTAGTTTTCACTCAGAAAATTAAAACAGAGTCATTCACTCCCAGTCATATCAGGCCATTTCATCAGAAGAAGTACATGTTTAAAGGTATCTGTGACTGTGGATGGGCCGCCTACCTTGCTCCTTCTCATTGAGTATGGATGCCAGATTCCCTCCAAGTTCTATGCAAGCTGTCCGTGACTTAGACCAATTTTTCCTTTCTTCTTTAACAAATCCAAAGATTTTGAAACACTAGGACAGGAATGAAAAAAAAAACAGTGCTTAACAAAAGATAATATTGCTTGTTCTAAAAAATCTAAATTATTCATGCAGATTATCATTAAACAAACATTTTCTCACAACAGATCTCCCTAAGTTAGTTGACTTTCAACACCCACAACATTTCTTTGACACCTTTTTCCCCCCAACTTTAGAGAAATGGCACTCCTATTTTGGATAATTCTCCCAAGCGTTCTCTCCATCTTCAGAGAAAATTTAACTTGGGTATATCTACCTAGGCTTGTTTATTGTTTTCTAAAGTGATTAGGTAAATTGAAGTCAACTTTGAGTCAAAAGAGAAGCATTGTCACCCCTGGCATGGACTAATGCCAAGGTTGTGAGTCACTTTTTTCAGTACCTTGTTATTGTAAAAGGACCAACCGTCCTTACAACCTCCCGGGAGCGGGGCTGTGGTGGGGATGGCTGTAGTATTAATGCTGCTGTTATGTCTTTCACAAATAAAGGCGCTTGGGTAGCCACAGTTAATATCATTCCAAAATCCTGGCAAAGAGCAAAGAGGAAAATTAGATATACAAAGGCTATAACAAAAAAAAATCTTTAAATACACCCATATTCTGTGGGGAATCTCAAAAATGGTTTCAACTAGAATGAAATTTGAAATGATACAAGTGACTCCAAAGGGCTATGTCATTTCCTTGAGTATTTTCATCTGAACTAATAGTAGATCAATGCTATAAGGCATTTATTATGAAACAGGCATGGAGCTGATGTTGTCTAATGCAATCTAAATATACAGAGCTAATAATAAAAATCTGATTATATTTTAAATTATATTTACATAATATATCTATATAATATATTTGTATAAGTATTTATTTTATACTTTATAGAAATATTCATACATTTATATGAACATTTATTTTATATTTTATAGAAATATTTGTATATTTATACAAATATTTATTTTATATTTTATAGAAATATTTATGTATTTATATTATTTTATATTTTATATAAATATTTGCATAATGAAATATGTTATATAGTTATTTTATATCTTTATATAAAATCATTTAAAAAATCTAATAAAAATCTACCTATTTTCATAGATCCCAAGAATTTGCTTAGTGTTTTAGGTGTGTAATCTCATTAAAGGTAAAGGTAAAGGTAAAGGCCCTCCCGTTGATCGTCGATTTGCTCGAGCGGGCCCAGTAACGTCTCCATTGGAGACTTTGTTGTTACTGTGTCTGGCATATCGAATACTCTCGGTAGCTTGCCGGGCTCTCCGAGAGAGGCGGAGGAATCGAACTCAGGTCAGCCATGTTGGTCGCTTGTAAGGCGAACGCCCTACCCGCTGTGCTATCGCTAGACTTAACAATAGTAAGATCTGCAGTTAAGAGAGGGAAAAAAAGATTGATAATCTAGATGCTGAATAAAACTGCAAAGCAAACAGACAAAATCAAACCAAAATCAATCCTTGGGTGCTGAGTGCAGAACTGAAGTTATCAAAGGGGGAATGGGGGTGGAGTGGAGGGTTTGAGGGTTCTGGTGGACCTTGTTCCTGGTACCATGTTGTCATTGACAGTGGGCATGGTGAGATATGAATAGGTGAACCTACATACCTAGGACATATAGACTACAGGGCTGCCTCATAGATAACAAAGCAAAACAAAAAATGTGCCTTCTGTATAGTTTCCACAAATCAGAATATGAAAACATGTTTTGGGGCCTGAGAGATAGTACAGTGGGAGGGCATTTGCCTTTCCCACGGCTGGCCCAGGTTCAGTCCCTGGCATCCCATATGGTCACCCGAGCACTACCAGGAGTGATTCCTGAGTTCAGAGCTAGGAGTAACCTCTGAGCATTGCCAGGTGTGACCCCAAAAGCCAAAGAAGACAAAACAAAAGAGCAAGCATGCTTCATAAAATAAGGATCGAGAAGACTGTCATCTTTCAGCATAAACAAGAAGCACCCGTTCTTACACTGCCGGCATCTCTGCAGCTAAGCATAGACTTCTCTCATCTCCTTTGGCCTGATGCAAAAGCGTCACGTGCTCCCTGTAGCCCAGGGAGATCGTGAATGACCACTCAACAGCACGAGGCTAATGCAAGAAGATTTCCATTGTGCCTACCTGAATTTGAATACATGGTCACACAGTTTTCATCATCGTTTGCAAAATTGGGTTCGCCTGGGGCCCAAGATACAAAATTCACTTTGCTTCCATCCATCCAACTGGGAAAAAAAAGAAACTTGGCATTTAGCAGCAATAGGCTCACTATCCTAGTTAGCTAGAGCCTCGTGGGGGTGGGGGGACCTGGACAGTTGACTAAATAAAAGGAGCAGAGTTTTCTGAGCAAACAGAAAAGAAGGTTCTAGAGAGATTGGCAGGAAGTTGGTACTTCCATAGGCACTGTATTCCTCCAGGTATCTTGAAAGTGCAAGAAGAAATGGACACCCGCTTACTCTGGAAATGGCTTAGAAGCAAATAACTTGGCTGACTTAGGCCCAATTCCCACCAATCAAAACCACCCAGACGGAGACCATAGAGTTTCCCCATAGGCCCTGTCTCTGATTTTCACATTTACACTCCTTTCTGCTAAAGAACGGAAGCCAGAATTTATCTTCATAAATGATACAAATTCAAGAACTCATCTCTGAAAAGAAGCAAGAGAGCATTGAATTGGACCCTCTCATTTTAGAGATAAAAAGATGGGTTTATTTATTTTGTTTTACCCAAAGGAGCATCAAACACCTTTAAACAGTCTCACGGAACCTAGAGGGGGAAACGCATTGGTGCGTGCACAAGAAGACAGTACTGCTCTTCAAATTGATGACAATGTGTGCGTTACTGAAGAAGGAAAGGAGCTCCCCAATGTATACTGATGTCCTCTCTGCCTCTAACTACTTAAAAACATTCCTTTGAAAGAAAAACATGTCAAGCAGTCAGAAGGATACATCAAAGCAATGTTAGAGCCATGGGGAGTGGAGGGCGTGGAGGAAAGGATGCAAAAGAAGACCCTTCAGTTCTGGACACCAAGGAAAGTCCAGAAGGAACCCTAGTTTGAAAAATAAATTCAGAACTAGAGAGATAGTACAGTAGCTATCATGCATAGCTGACATGTGGTGAGCACCCCACCTCAGTACTACTTGGGTGACCCATATTATCCCCAGTATCACTAGGCCCAGAGCAGCACCTCATCCTCAGGCCTTGGCATCAAAGCACTGGCCCACTTGGCTAAGAATTTCTGGGAGGGGCTTACATTACCTGTCCACATGCCTGGTATAGGCAACCAGCAGGAAAGAGGGAGGAAGGAAGGGAGGAAGAGAGGAAGGAAGAAAGGAAAGGAGTGAGGAAGGAAGAAGGAAGGAAGAAGGAAGGAAGGAAGGAAGGAAGGAAGGAAGGAAGGAAGGAAGGAAGGAAGGAAGGAAGGAGATCACTATCCTAAGTAAAATTTTAGTCAGGTTTACTTACGCGAACTTTTTATCCAAGCTGATCAGTAAGCCAATAAAATATGCAGTATGTGCATCTTTCCTGTTGGCCTAAAAATGAAATTAGCATACATATAAATTTTTACTCCCATAAGACACACATATTCCAGAATATATTGCAAATCATACCACCATGTTGTTTATCTTCTGCTGACAGTGATATAGGTCAAGCATTTCTCAGTGAAACTGTTAATGTGACAATTAACATCCTCCTAGGAAATTTTCCTATGGAGAAATTCGCACAGAAAGTTTGCTGTATATCTGAATTTTTTCATAGAAAAGATAAAAAGGACAGATGTTCTGTGCCAAAACACTCTTGGAAAAAAATTAATTAATTCTATGCTGTGAGTTGATGATTGTGTACAGGCAAGAAAAAAATTATATGAATAATTAAAAGCCAACAAGTTTTTATCCAACTAAGACAAATCCTTTAAATGAATAATCAACCTTTACTATTCAGAATCCATCAATGCAAAATCTTAACTGCTTGATTTATTTTCCATAATTTCTAGTTGGGCTGGAGTGATAGCACAGTGGTAGGGCATTTGCCTTGCACGTGGCCGGCCTGGCCGACCCGCGTTTGATTCTTCTGCCCCTCTCAGAGAGCCCCGCCAGCTACCAAGAGTATCTCACCGCACAGCAAAGCCTGGCATGCTACCCGTGATGTGTTCCATACACCAAACACAGTAACAACAAGTCTCACGATGGAGACGTTACTGGGCCCACTCGAGCAAATCAGTGAAGTGGAGGACAGTGCTACAGTGCTACAATTTCTAGTTGGCACAGAAGAGTTTATTTGCCATGTAATTGATGTTTCATATGGATGAACTAGATAGTGTATATAGTTGCTCCATAAGTTGATTAAATGCGCCTTGGATGTTGTAATTTTGTACATCAAAACTACATTATTTTGAGACTACTGTAACCATATTATCTAAAGTACAACAAAATAAAGTTTAAAAATAAACAAGTATTGATCATGCAAAGAGAAGACTCGTATGCTTAAGGAGGTGTGGCACTATCCTCCTGGAACTGCACCAACTTGTCAACCAATGGTAAGTCAATATCATTAATTTAAAAACTAGAATAAAATAAAATATCATCATGGAATCAGAAAATAAGATAATAATTACAGTCTCTGAGACTTAAACTAGTAAATCAAAGCTACCAAGTCTGAATTCTCCAAAGTGCAAACTGAAAATGGTCCCTGAGTTTTGTCATTCTATACTGAACCTTCAACCATTTGGGCCAGCACCCAACTCTAGTTCCTTGGCATTTACATCTTTCCTCCAACCTTACAAGGCTAAATTTAGCTCATAATTTTGAAACTGTACAATGAGGTACCACTGACATATTCTCTGCTTAGCAGAGGTTCCACACTTAACAATATTCTTACATATTTCCACAGAAATTTCTTCTGACTTTCACTTCGAATAGTAACAAGATCACCAAAATTCTTCTTGCAAAATTCTCGTGCATCATCCATGGTTTTCTTGTCTTTGCTAAAATAATACTGGTATTCTTTATAAATAACCCACCCATCTTCAGTGACTGGTGGATCTGAAACACAAACGTGAGGCGTGGGTGAGGGGGAAAGACAAGCATTTTGCTCAGATTCAGTCAAGAACTTGATAGGTATGGTGTACAGATGTGAAAAGAGGAGTGCAGCTCTGTGAGAATTACCAATGACTGTGTGAGCCCAGAATAGACAGGAAGTTTACACCCCATAATCGCTGAATGAACTGAGGCCAAAGACCCAGTTTCCACCATTTTAGAATAAACTAGCAAATTTCTCTTCTCTGCTAAGTTGTCTGGGTTGTGTTGGATAAATATTGTTGGATAGAATTTTACTTTCTTCAGTAGCTGGGCACAGCTAGAAGAATACATGTATATGTATATATATGAATATATAGAGTATATATTATATATAAGAATATAATGTGTGAGTGTGAGTATGTGTATGTGTATGCATGCAGATTTAGAAACTGCAACTATCAATTATAAAAAAACAAAATTGGATGATCTTGTGTGCTCCAGTGTATAATGAAGTCACACACCAGGAGTGGCCTTAGGTTCTCTTCCAACTCAGTAATTCTATGGGTCTGTGCTGAATAAGAGTTCCAAAGATAGGCTGTCCTGACCATCCTGACCTCTGAAATGTGTGAATGTTGCCTTAGCATTTTGCAAGGATGATTAAGAGAAGGATCCTAAGATCAAGTGTCTGAGGTCAGAGGTTCCCCAACCTTTTTTTGGCTTGAGGTTCCTTTTCAAAATCAAAAAGGTCACAGTCCCTCATGAAAATCTACACAAACACATAGAAAGGGCTTCCACCATTCTGTCTCTGGGGCTACCATCGCACCCCTCTTGATTATTCCAGGGTGTTCCTCCCCCATATGGTGTTTGTGTGTGTGTGTGTGTGTGTGTGTGTGTGTGTGTGTGTGTGTGTGTGTGAAGAAGGAAGCAATTGCCCTGGAGCACACCTATGGGTCCTAAATCTACCCACAGGGACCCTAGCAAAAGGAGGCAGAGATGTTCCTATGCAAGCAGAAAGCCATCTACAAATAACCCAGGCTACATGGCAGTTCTCAGAAATGGGACAAGGGACAACAATCAAACCATCCAGGGCAAGAACACAAACTGGAGAGAGTGTGGTTTGCAGATGCCTTGACTTGGGCCCAGTGAAGCTCATTTCCAATCCCTGACCTCCAGAACTGTCTGGGGATGCAGGGGTGTAGTGTGAAGTTAGAGGGTAAGCAAAAATGTGTTCTAGCAGTCTTGGGAAGCTAATATATGTGCTGAAGAAGGCTCCTGGGCCCTGATATTTGAGTCCCAAATTCCAGAGAAAGCGTATTAGCATGCCTGATACTTGTACATGGAAACATCAGTCAGTCTACCTGCCCAGGGCACTTACTGCCATCGAGCAATAAAAGAGGCAAAGAGAAGCAATGGGCAAGAGAGAGGGGAGAAGAAGAGACACCTACTGTCTTGAGGAGCTGGCGTCGGTTCTGGTTTTGGTGTCTCGCCTGGAAAACAAAGGTTAATGAGAAAGTGTGAAGCTAAAAACGTGACTCTTCTCTCATTCAGACACTCCCTCCCTTCCACTCTCCAGTTCTACATCCATCTGAGGAGGAAGAGAATGAAGGAAGCAAGATTTGGAATGAAGAGTTAAATAAATGGCCCATATAAAAATAAAATCAGTAGGCAGTGGAGGGGAGGTGGAGGCAAAGGTGTATGAGACGTAGCATTAGGACAGTAGTGGGTGGTCTGCGGCTTTTTGGTGGTGATGAAGGTGCATCAAAACCATAAACATTAACCCCATTTAACCACATTACCTAAAGGACAAAAATATTATGTATTCTTTGTTAATAAATTTTTATTTTATGTTTTATAAATAAGGGTGGTATAAAATATGTGTTCCTAATATTTAGAAGGGGCTCTCCAGATGTTATAGTGAGATGTGTTATGATTAGCTCTAAAATGGCTTAAATTTTCTTTATCAGAAACCATTAAATGTGAACTAGTAATCTATAAAAAATTTTAAAATCTTCAAAGAAAATTTCCCAAAGAACAGAGATTCTTTAAAAATATTTTTTTAATTTTATAAATTTTTATTAAAGAGCCACAATTTACAAAGTTATTGATAAGTGAGTTTTAGGCATACAATAATTCATCACCAATTCCTCCATCGGTGTCAACTTCCCTCCATTAATGTTCCCAGATTCCCTCCTCACTCCACCCCTTACTCCACCCCTGTCTGTCAACTTGACAGACACATTACAAAATTCTAGTGGTTATTGCTTAGTTGTTATATGTTTTGGATATATGGCTATACCCCTCACTCATATGACCTGTACAACTAAAGTCCAGATGCCTAAAGAACAGAGATTCTTCAAAGTCTATTACACTTATTAAATGGTTGAATCTATTAAATGTGAAATGGATTATTTTGCTTTCCAAAAAGTTAATAATATGGCTGGATTTCACTGGAATCTGTGAGAAACACTTAGGTCACTGAGCTTCGTATTTATTAATTTTTTCCCATCACTTCTTTATTGAGTTATTGGGATTTATAATACTGTTTTTGTGCATACATCATTCCAATACTGAGCTTTGGGTTTAATGAGTGTAATGTCCATAAAGGACAGCTACAAATGATACATTCATTGGGTGCTAGATCACTTTCAACAAAAACTTGCTATCACATATCCCTTCATTCCAAAAGTTCTGAAAGCACTAATCTATGCAGAAGGTATAAGGAAAGCAGGAGCCTATGGCAGAAAAGCTACTGAGTCTCTAGCAATGCAGTGGGGAGAGTTGCTAAGGTCCAGACAAGAGAGGGCAACTTGGATCTGGTAATCTTTCACAGAGCAGGAAGTAGAAGTCGATTGGGCTCCAGGGAGGATGCATCTGCTTCTATTAACACAACAACCTGGGTCCTCTACCTCAGAGCCTGACCCAGATGCACAGAAGTTCGCAAGTCCCAAAACTACAGGATGGTGGCTGCGAGCATGCAGTATGCTCTTGTGAACATCAAGATGACACTGTCAGTCTATTAGCTTCAAAAGAGGACATAAAATGGTGATTCTCCTCTGTGTTGAGCATTTCCTTGGGAAATTGAGCTAAGATCATTCGGGCTGAGGGAAGCTTTTGACCTATCAGTTGATTAACAAAGGCTATAGGTGAGAGATCTAGAGAAGACACTGCACTTTTCCCATCCTGCATCAGAGTCAAACTCCCACCGGGAGAGAACCTGAGCCAGAATCCCAACTTGTGGGAACCGCTCTGGGGGACGTGACTTTGGTCTGGGATTCCCTGGTGGCCTTTTGATTTCCTGTTCCCTTAGAACAATTATCTGTACTCCACAACTTCATCCTTATCCTGTGAAACGAGGGACCCTGCCAGTTCCCTTTATCTGTTACTTTGTTTGCTTGGTCCCACCAGGACAGGGAAGACCCTGAGAAGTCAGGGGGTTCAGTCTCCAAGCCAAGATAGAGAAGAGATCAAGTTATCATACCTTTTTGGATCTGGCAAATCCAGTTGTGAAGATGCTCACAATTAATATCATTCCAGGCCATCCCAGGGTCACCTTTTAATTCGCCACAGAATTCAGTATTTTGGTAATTATTAGGTTCTCCATAAGCCCAATTTTCATATAAAACCTACATTAGAAATATTTAATTGGACCTGGTCATTGCTTATTACAGGTCAATGCCAATTAGCTATCCCAGTGAAAAAGAAAAGGTATGTTTGTCCTTTAAATGCATTTACATTTTGTTTTTCACAGTGGGCTTCCTTTGAAAACAAGTTATGAGTCTGACTGGGAGAGAAACAGCTTTCATTACATAGAAACCTTTTAAACACTATTCAGAATACACTATTGATTATTATATACTATTCTTTGCTTTTACTTAATAGAATGAATCATGGAAACAAAAGTGTAATTACTAACTGCTGCAGACATGGCATTTATATATAGACAAAAATTGGCAACAAAGCTCCTACTTCTCAGTATCAGGAATTTTTATATCTATAACCTATTCTTGACAAAATTTCACTGTGATATTAGCATTTTTCCCTGAATTAAATGTGAATAGTTGTTCTCACAAAAGAAAAAAAAATTCTTCAAAAATGTCTGTAACAAAGCTACTAAACTTCACTTAAATCAACTATAGAAATAAATGAAATTCTGGGTTTGGGGCTGGAGCAATAGCACAGCAGGTACGGTGTTTGCCTTGCATACAGCCAACTCAGGTTTGATCCCCGGCACCACATATGGACCCTGGAGCCCCACCAGGGGTCATCTCAGAGCACAGAGTCAGGAGTACCTGAGAGGCATCAAATGTGGCCCCAAAATTAAAACAGAAAAAGAAAAGCTGGGTTTGGGCCCCAGTGAAATCCGTAACATGAAAACACAGCCCGCAGAATTTTAGACTGGGCATAATGGTCTCTTTCCCAGATATATATGCATTTATCTTTCTACATATAGACAGAATCCAAATATCACTGGAGCCATGAAATATGCCATGTTATATCCAAATGCTTTGAAATGGAGCTGGTGGCTTGTAGAAGCTAGAACTGATATTATGTGATTAAGGGCACTTCCTGTGAGGACTAGGGTGCTGGATACACCAGCAAGTGTCACTTCTGCATTGACCAACAGAGACGTATAACTGAGTGTCACAGTTAACTCATGGAATTAGTTAACTGTGCTTCCAAAGCTCCTGGATCTGTAAGAGCTATTAAACACTCACTTTCTTTTCTTTTTTTCTTTTTTAAAAAATAATTTACTGTAGTATTTATGTTAGTAAAAATATTAGAATCAACCTCCATATACTCACTCACTATCTAAAGTTTCCTACTTCCGTACCAAGTTGGCACGGTAGAATGAAGCTACTGTTTTCTATCAACTCATGCAATGAGTTTCCACTCCCATTTGTTTTCAATCAACAGGATTTGGGGAAAGAAACGCGCAACTTGGGCAGGAACCTATTCACAGTCATTAAAAAATAACATTCATTTTTGTATAGGAAAATGTCTCTAGTTAGCACAAGGAGCTTTCTTACCAAAAACTTGGATCAAGCTTACAAGTAATATCAGAATTAAACACAACAATGTAAAAAAATGAAATATTAAACCAAATTACTCACAGGAGAGCCATCACTCCAAGTGAAACCCTCAGTAGGACTTCCATATGTCAGTCCCAACCAAAACAACTCATGGTAGTTTCCGCTACTCCTAAAACATACAAGACATGCAGAAAGCTTAAGCTGCTGTGAGAGAATGTTTGGTTACCCTTGAAAACTAACAATATTAGAAAGCTGCAAGGTCAAAGCAATAGCACAAGAGTGGGGCACTTGCTTTGCCTTGCACACAGCTTGATCAAACCCTGAACTTGACCCCATTACTCTAACTCACAATTGAGATTTATTCATTCATGAGCTCACAATCTGCAAATAAACCATTGTAAAGCATTGAAATAACAATTCATTTAACTATTTATTAAGCATTTTGTACTTATATAAACCAATTCATGGCTGAATTTATACCTATAAAACTAAAGCAAATAGGAGCAAAATTACATCAAAAAAAAGACCTTTGGGTTTTTGACGGGATATCATCCATATACTAGAAGTAGATTCATAAATAAACAATTTTCAAAATAAGTGGGGAAAGGCAGTATTAGACAGGAATGACACTTACGTTATTAATCGCCATATTGCTTGTTGTTCCTCTTTGTTATTGATACTAGCCAGATCACCACCCATAGCTCTACAAAAATCTCGAGATTCAAACCATGTTTTCTTCTCATGCTTTCCTTTTGTGTAAAGCTAAAGATGACATAGTTGTAGAAGTTATTTGTATTGTACAGTTTCACAAATCAATAAAAATAAGATCAGATTTAGGTAGACACTTTAATGGCCCAAACCAATATTTTCCCCTGGCTAAAAATCAATTCATGGGTGAATATTTTAGTAATAAAGTTTGAGGGATGATTTTGATAAGAAAACATTAATAATTAGGGTTGTTTTATAGTACAGGAGAAATTGGAGTAAAATCTCAAAAGCTTTGGTATTTACGTTGGGCATGCAATCACAGAAAACAGAATCAATTCAGTTAAGGGCGAATAGGGCACTGAGATGAGAGAAAGCAAAAGAAACTTTTGATGCAAAGAAAGAAAATATAAATAAAGAATTTATAGGGGAAATAATATTTCTAAAATTGTGCCATGTTTGGGATCCTGCCTAGCTTATATAACAGCCAGCAAAGTGACAGCTGCCTTTCCATAACTGTTGGAAATTTCCTTCAAAACTGCTTTGTCTTTTTCTCCCTATGGTTGCAGTTTTTAGCACTTACTGGAGCACATGTCACAATACTTTTCTGGCAGAGCATTTTAAATGATGGGTGAAGTAAAAATAAATAATTTTTTTTTGCTTTTTGGGTCACACCTGGCGATACACAGGGATTACTTCTGGCTCTGCAGTCAGGAATTACTTCTGGCAGTGCTCAGGAGACCATATGGGATGCTGGGAATCGAACCCGGGTCAGCTGCCTGCAAGGTAAACACCCTACCTGTTGTGCTATAGCTCCAGCCCCATAAATAAAAATTTTTAATAGGCTAGTCCAAAGTGATAAAGGCACTCTGAGTTTATTTTATTATTTACAATAGCCACAAACTGGAAACAACCTAGGTGCCAATTGAAATATGGATAAAGATGAGATAGATAGATATATAGATAGATAGACAGACAGACAGACAGACAGAAAGGCAGTAATAATGATACAGTACTCAGTTATTTTTTAATTAAAAAAGTTCTGCCATTTGCAATAAGAAGAATGGAATGACAGAGTATTGTGCTGTGTTAAATAAACCAGAGAAATATAAACACATCATTTATTCTGAGATTATATACAGATTTTTTAAAAAAAGATAAATGAAATAAAACAACAATAAATGTTTAGACTATAAAATCAATCTGTGGTTGAAGGGAAAGGGGAAAAGTTGGTGAGATGATAATCATTGACAAAGAAGAAGCACATGTTGATTTTTGATGATGCACACCTGAAACTTACATTATACTGAAGAGTTACCTCAGTACAAAAAAAGGTAGTAAAAAGCAAAAAGGAGTTATTGATTAAAGTGAATGCCTACATTGTAAAAAGAATCTTTCATATCCTCAACAGTACTACAATGATATCAAATCCACAGTGACGGCCTTGGAAATACCTACTAGTATGCAAATAGAATGGGTGCTCCTTGCATCTGCCAACTTTCTTTTTTTAACTTTTTTTTTTATTGAATCATAGTGAGATACAGTTACAAAGTTGTTCTTGATTGGATTTCAGTCACATAATGTTTCAACACCTGTCCCTTCAAGAGTACACAATTTCCTCCACTAATGTCCCCAGTTTCCCTCCCACCACCCCCTCACACACTTCTATGACAGGCACTTTTCTTTTCTCTGTGTCTCTTGTCTCTCTGTCTCTGTCTCTCTGTCTCTCTGTCTCTCTGTCTCTCTGTCTCTCTGTCTCTCTCTCTCTCTCACTTTCCCTCCTTTTGGCAGCTGCCAGATTTCATCATTTTCTCCCTTGTTGATGGCTCCCATTACCACAGACTGTGGAAAGAAGTTTACTTGCAATGGTCTACATCTGGCCAGATGGCAGTAAGCAACTCATGAAAGCCTTCCTGTGCCCTGAATCTGAACCATCTAAACAAAGGAGTCTTGAGTGCGTTTCTACTTCAATAACTCCCAAGAAGCCGATAGGTGCTTCAACTTGCTATACTGTTATATAAGCTTTTATTTTCTAAAATAATTACTTTTCAGAAGCTTCTGCACCTCAAAAGAAACAATGACCAAAATACAAAGACAGTCTACAGAATGGGAAAGGATATTCGCCGAATACACATCCGACCAGGAGTTGATATCAAGGATATATAAAGTACTGGTTGAACTCCACAAGAAAAAACAACCAACCCTATAAAAAAATGGGGCAGCAAAATGAACAGAAACTTTCTCAAAGAAGAAATCAGAATGGCAAAAAGGCACATGAGAAAATGCTCTACATCATTAATCATCAGGGAGATGCAGATCAAAACCACAATGAGGTATCATCTCACACCACAGAGACTGGCCCATATCCACAAGAACAAAAGCAACCAGTGCTGGCATGGATGTAGCGAGAAAAGGGACCCTCCTTCACTGCTGGTGGGAATGCCGACTGGTTCAGCCCTTTTGGAAAACAATATGGACGATTCTCAAAAAATTAGAAATTGAGCTCCCATTTGACCCAGCAATACCACTCCTGGGAATACATCCCAGAGAGGCAAAAAAAGGATAGTCTAAGCGACATCTGCACGTGTTTGTTCATTGCAGCACTCTTTACAATAGCCAGAATCTGGAAAAAACCTGAGTGCCTGAGAACAGATGACTAGTTAAAGAAACTCTAGTACATCTACACAATGGAGTACTATGTAGCTGTTAGGAAAGATGAAGTCATGAAATTTACATAAAAGTGGTACTACATGGAAAGTATCATGCTAAGCGAAATGAGTCAGAAAGAGAGGGATAGACATAGATTGCATTCATCTGGGGAACATAAAGTAACAAAATAGGAGACTAACACCCAAGAATAGCTGAGATTAGTACCACGAGATTAGTACCAGGAGGTTTACTCCATGGCTTGGAGGCCAGCCACACATGCTAGGGAGAAAGGAAGCTCAGATAGAGAAGGGAGCACCAAATAAAGGGTGTTGGGAGGATCCTCCCAGGACGGGAGAAGCATGCTGAAAGTAGACTATAGACCAAACATGATTGCCACTCATTGCTTCTTTTGCAAACCACAACACCCAATAGGAGAGAGAGAACAAAAGGGAATGCCCTGCCACAGAGGCAGGATGGGATGGGGGGATGGGGGGTGGGAGGGATACTGGGATCCATGTTGGTGGAAAATGGGCACTGGTGGAGGGATGGGTATTTGATCATTGTATAATTGAAACCCAAGCACAAAAATTTGTAAGTCTACAACTGTATCTCATGGTGTTTAACTAATAAAAAAATAATTAACTTTCAGTTGGACTTATTAATAATTGCCATATCTTAGAAGATACAAAGATATTGAATAAATTTGCAACCAAATACATTTAAAATCACATAATTTCCAGCAAAGTACATATTTTGGGGTGTGTCGAGCGTTCACTGTATAATGTCTACTGGAATGTTTCTTTTACTTCCAAGCTATAGTAATTCTGCTTCTCTCAAAGTTCTAGAGCTGATCTCAAAGCCTACCACTCTCAAGTGTGTGGGCAGATAAAGGGTGAACCTGGTCTTTGCTTAGTAACTTAACTATCTGCAGAAAATAATGTAATACTGATTTGCTCTGTTACTCCACAGTGGGTCCATTTACAAAGTTTTCTTGTCTCAATCCAAATACATTCTTATAAGTAACTATATTAGTAGACTATTCTGGATTAAATGACTCATCAGTTAAATGACTCATCAGTTTTTTATTACTTCTACTAGTCATTACCAGTTTAACCAGTAGTAATACTTCTTTAGTTTGAGAAGACTAAATAATCTGTTTCTGACATACTAACTCAACCCTGGCCTATCTTAATGTCTTACAAAAATCTTACTTCCTTCTACCAAAGGATTGGATTAAAGTAGTTCTGAGAACAAAAGATCAGAGAACAAAAGCATTGATCACAGAGAACATTTATATCTAACATTTATAACTTTTCCTCATAAGGACATGTTTTCTAAGAGAGAAAAGATCTAGATTCTTAATTGGGCTATTTATCTGTGAACTTGACTATATAAAATAAAATGATGGTCTGACCTAGGAGATGTATAAATTAATAGCAGAATATCAAAACTTATTTAAATGGTGTTAAAAGACCAGTTACCTCTACCTACCCATACTTTCATCTCTCATCCAACATGACAATCAGGGGTTCCATATGGGCACAGGGCAGGAAGATAAAGCTTCACCTCTAGAATATATATATATATATATATGTATATGTGTATATATATATGCCATGGGTGGAGCGATAGCACAGCAGCAGGGCATTTGCCTTGCGCGCAGCCAGCCCGGCAGAGCCGGGTTTGATTCCTCCGCCCCTCGGAGAGCCCGACAAATTACTGAGAGTATCTCGCCCGCACGGCAAAGCCTCGCAGGCTCCCCATGACGTATTCGGTATGCCAAACACAGTAACAACAAGTCTCAAAATGGAGATGTTACTGGGCCCACTCTAGCAAATCGATGAACGGGAGGAGAGTGTTTTGTTTTATATATGCCATTGCTGCAGTTACCAATTATTTCAGAAGGGGGCAAAAATGAGATGTATTTGGATAACATGAGAGGCAACAGAATGTAAAATTTTCTTGAGTATAAAAAGAAGCATGAACTCAAATTGAGAGAGAATGAGGGGAGGGAGGAAAGCGAGTAGAAAGTAAGTGGTGAAGGTAAATTCAGAGGCTTCTTCGAGTTGTGTGTGTGTGTGTGTGTGTGTGTGTGTGTGTGTGTGTGTGTGTGTGTTGTTTTACTTGCTAATGTAGCTGGTCATGAGCATCCACCCTAAGAGAGCTCTTTCACTATGCCCAGGACCCTTTCCAAATCAAATCCCCTTCCATCTCTCTTTGGTTATACTTCATTTTCATGCCTTGGGTGATACTGTAGGCTGCAGCATGAGCACAATTATCCTAGGAACAGGTTCTTACCTTGTAACACAATCTTGTTTTACCACTGGAGCCCCAATTCTCCGGGCATTTGGGTTCAGGAGTTGTTGTGGGCTCAGGTGGGCGAGTTACTCCTTCTGCCCAGTGTTTGCACACAAATTTTGCCTTTTCTTCACATCTCAAGACATCCCACAAGCCCCCTGAAATCCCAGTTCTCATGGCGACACACCCTGGCTTTCGTCCTGCAGAAAATACACAAAAGAAAACTCATTTATCCAGGGTCTGTGGAAGGCTGGTTCTGCTCACAGACAGTCCAAATTGTATTGTCTTTTTGGTCACTGAGTTATGTGAATTTTTATTTATTTATTTTTTACACAAAGCTGCAAAAAAACCCAGAAGAGACACACAGAAGACATACAGATGGCCACAGAGATTAGGAAAATGTGCAACATCACTTATTATAAGAGAATATCAAACCAAAACCACATAGGTGATATCACGTCATACCTGTCAAAATGGTCTGTGTCAGAAAGATTGGTAATAAATTGGGGTGAGGACATGGAAAGAAAGGAACTCTCATATCCTACTTGCAAGAATATAAATTGGTATACCCTCTATGAAAAAGGGTATAGAGTTTCCTTAAAAAAAATAGAAATAACATATGAATGAGTGTACAATTCCAGGCATTTATCTGAAAGATATGCAAAGGCAAAGGCAAATGGACATCACAGTGCCATATTCACAGCCATTTCTGACACAAAAGTCAAAATAAAGAACCAAACTAAATGACCATCAACAGATAACTGGACAGAGCTGCTGGAGTCTACGTACTCACTGGACTCTTGTCCTGTCATTTAAAAAGGATGAGCCATGTCTCCTAGAATCAAGTGGATGGAATGTGTGCTGACTATGCTAAGTGAAATGAGTCAGTAAATGTAAAACAGTCACCAAATGGCTTCACTCATGTGTGAAGCAAACAAACTGGACAGAAACAATAAAATGTTTAGAGTTGGTGAAAACTATGGTGTTAAAGGGAGGGAGCGCAGGTGGGAGGTGCAAGGCGGGGGTAGAGGGGGGCGCTTTTTGGTGGTGGGGAGGCACAGAGAGGTAGCAAGCTCTACCCCTGAAACATTAGAATGCTGTAGATGGATCTTAAGTCTCATTAAAAGGGGTACGAGCTGAAATGGGTGTTGGGTGACTAAATCTGAGATAAAACGTTGAGGAGAGATCCTGTTGGCCTGGGCAATTGATTGGATTTCTGAACCCTCTTTTACCTTGTGTTTGGGTGACCTTTGTCCCCAAATGAATCAGGATCTCAAATGACATGGTTTGTATAAGACTTTACATTGCTTCCATTTGGCAGGTGGAAAAAATATTCCATGATACAGTAAATTTGGGCTGGAGCGATAGCACAGCGGGTAGGGCGTTTCCTTGCACGCAGCCAACATAGCCGACCCAAGTTCGATTCCTCCACCCCTCTTGGAGAGCCCGGCAAGCTACCGAGAGTATCTCACCTGCATGGTAAAGCCTGGCAAGCTACCCATGATGTATTTGATATGCCAAACACAGTAATAAGTGTCACAATGGAGACACTACTGGGCCTGCTCGAGCAAATCCATGAACAACAGGACAGTGACAGTGACAGTGATACAGTAAATTTAGTCAGATCAAGTATACTCTGATAGCAAAAACAATGGTGTGATGTTTCTTTTGAAATTCATTACAATTCATTTCCTGCCTTAGGGCCCATGTAGGCTTTCCTGGAAGAAAGTTGTTCAGACTTTCAAATCAGACACACCTCTGAGGGTTTGAAGAAGTTACTGATGACTCAGAAGTTGCTTCCGCTTCTTAAAGGGCCTATATCACTACCTGTATCTGGTAGGGTTGAGATTTATGCCGGCTTTAATAGAGAAAAAGGTAATAAAATGTGGAATAAATATTAATAGTGTAGTTACAGTACTTCAAAATAACATAAGGTTAACCATTTATAATTCCATTTCTCAGTGCTAGGTATTTTAAAACTATAGTAACAAATTTGGGGCTTTAAAAACACTAAATTCCTTGATACAAAATGGGGAAATCTTCTTGTATTTGTTTTAAAATCTTACCCTATTTTTAATTTATTAATTTTTTTTTTTGCTTTTTTGGGTCACACCCAGCGGTGCTCAGGGATTACTCCTGGCTCATGCACTCAGGAATTACTCCTGATGGTGCTCGAGGGACCATATGAAATGCTGGGAATTGAACCCGGGTCAATGCAAATGCCCTACCCGCTATACTATCACCCCAGCCCTTTTTTGATATTTTAAATGCAGAAATAAAAGGGATATTACAACAAATCTCCCTAAGCTCTCAGAATCCTATTGCTGAATGAATAACACCAACAAAGTTAAGGAGTTTAGTGTGTAAAGTAAGGGTTAGCATTCCTATAAATATTTTGTTAAATGGGCATTCAATTCTTAATGTACTGCCCATTTATTAAAAATATACCAAAACCTTTGTAGTTTTTTTTTTCATAAAGCTGAGTAATGAAACAAGAATCACACTATACGAAAGACTGATAATGGTCTCCGAATTCACAGTTGAGAATAAAAATGAAAAGATCAGCAGAAGATTGTGACTGTTCTAGGCAAAACAGTCAATTGACACACATGAGCTATTATTGCTGTTTATCTTTATCTACCTAGATGAAAGGATGTGTTCTAAAGAAGGTGAATTTCTGGATAATGTCCTACTGAATATAGTGTTATATGCCACAACACCAGTCCTGAGGAATAGCAAAAGATTTTCAGAGTCCATTTCTGAAACTACAAGGAATTTCAGATCAATGCTGACGGGGAAGTAGATTGGTTTTGGTGCAAACACTACACTTGAGAGTCTCACAAAATGAGTCTAAACCCATGTGAGGCAACTAGACATAGTGTAGAGTCATTTAGATTTTCTGAGCTCCAGTTTTCACAGACTTAAAACAAAGATCCTTCCACTTTCTATGCAGATTTCATGTAAGGATAAAGTAAAACCCAAGCACAACTAACCAGGGTGCTGATACCAGCTACTGGGATAATGAAACCCATATAAGCTGATGCTCCCTGCCCCACCCCCTCCAGATACAAGAATAGCTTCACTCACAGTAACGTGTTAACAGTTTAGTTCTCCTTAGTATAATTATAAGTTATCAGAAATGAGTTAGCCATTTGGGACATCAATGACCATCACTGTATCACTGTATCGCTGTCGTCCCATTGTTTATCAGTTTGCTCAAGCAGGCACCAGTAACGTCTCCATTCATCTCAGCCCTGAGATTTTTAGCAGCTTCTCCTTACTCGTCCATCCCAATGCTGCTGTATTGGAGGCTCTTTCAGGGTGAGGGGAATGAGGCCCATTATTGTTACTGTTCTTGGCATATGGAATACGCCACGGATAGCTTGCCAGGTTCTGCCATGTGGGCGGGATACTCTCAGTAGCTTTCTGGGCTCTCCAAGAGGGACGGTGGTTAAGCCCATATAGAAGAGAATGCAAGCAAGTATGTTAAAACCAAACACATGTGTGCTGCTTTAGGTACATCAGTGGGCTAGACTATAAGAGGTCACTTGGCCGCATTTGCTCTGTGAGCTTTGTTCTATAGTCTCTGGATCAATGATCATAGAGGATTTTATAAATATTTTTCAAACAGAGCACTATCAGATACCGAGCAATGTCCATTTCCATTTTTTCTCAACTCCCCGGCAACTTACCAGACATTTTTGAAATGAAAAGAAAAAGAATATGATACTGAAGTCCCAATGACTTGGTCTTATCTCTTTGGAAAGGAAGTACAGATGGTGTCTGAAGGGTGGGGGTCAGGTATTCAAACCTAAGGGTACTGCAGACATGGAGCGTACCTGGCATGTCTGCATTCCAGTGAGTGAACTGCACCTCCTCCTCAATAGTCCACTGAAAGGTCCCCTTGTTTCGTACATCGGAAAGGCCAATCCAGAAGTGCCTTTCAGGACGCATTCCCACCAGGCTAGTCAGAAAGGCTTGCTCGTATCTGTAGGAAAGAACAACAACCTCAATTTAATTTCTGTGTCTGTAAATGTTCCTATGTACCAACATCAGAGGCATCTGTATCTTATGTCTGAGCCATTATTTAGTTGGTCATTCAAACAGATTCAGCCTATTTCGATGGTATTTAAATTATTCACATTTTCATGAAGGAAATATGAGCCTGGGCAATGAGTCATAACATTTAAATGGACTCAAACCATTTCTCTCTATTCTCACCATCCCTTGTGGCCCTGCGCAGAATATTCGAGTCTGAAAAGCACAGGGCAAGGCATGAAAGGATTTTAAGATGCATTGTTCTTTTAAAACTCAATCCACTTTACACACATTCTACTCAATTATTGATCGAACAAGTTCAGGAGCTCTAAGATCATAGGGGATAATACTGATGGAAACATCTGCCTGGATTTTCCCTTCAGCTCTGAAACAGAGAAAACTACCGAGAAGTATAAAACACAGAGCTGAAAGGGTGAAGGTGCTTGTGTTGCATTCAGCTGACTCAGGTTTCATGACCAGCATCACTTATGGTCCCCTGACCCTAGAGTCAAGAGAATCCCTGAGCACTGCCAAGAGGGGCCCAAAATACAAACAAGCAACATTATGAAGACTCAATCTCTAAAAATGAACTGGGAACAGAATCACAAGCTCCAGCATCCAACACCCTCTGCCCTGCCTTTGTATCTCTTCCACGTATTTGGAATAATCCAACAATAATGCATTGTTGCTGGACTAATTGTAGGCAACCGAAGTTTGTCTTCATCGAACCACTTAGGCAGCAACACAGGGAAAGAAAACTCTCCATTAGAAGCCAAAGAAATCCAGAACCACTCTTCCAGAATCAAAGGGAAGAAGACAGAGGAAAAAGAGAAGAAGCCAACAAGAGCAGAACATTTATTCGACCCTGGTGTGATTCATCAGATTGCCTAAAGAGAACAAGTCTTCAAAGTTCAAATTGCTTACGTGAATTTATCTATCCTGAAAACACAAAAAGGAAGACAAACCTAAAAGATTGTGGAAATCCAGGGTCTGTAGAGATAGTACAGAGGGTAGGGCGCTTGCCTTGCATGAGGCTGACCCTGGTTCAGTTCCCCCCTCCCCATCCCAGACAGTCCTTCAAGCACTGCCAGAAATAATTTGCAGAGTCAGGAGTAACCTCTGAGCATTGCTTAGAGTGACCCCTACACACACACACACACACACACACACACACACATACAAATATTATGGAAACCCAATATGTAACCATTCCAACAGATAATATAAGATATATATAAGGATAATATATAATATATATAAGATAATATTTATAATATATAATATATATAATCTTATATATACATCTTATATATATCTTATATAATATATAAGATAATATAAGGATCAATTATAGTGCAGATCAGCACTTGCCTTCCTGTCATTTTTAAAAAGTGATTTTATTTTATTTTATTTATTTATTTGGCTTTTTTGGTCATACTCAATAATGCTCAGGGGTTACTCCTGGCTCTACACTTAGGAATTACTCCTGGTGGTGCTTGGAGAACCATGTGGGATTGAACAGGGGTTGACCATGTGAAAGGCTAATGCTCTACCCACTGTACTATATCAAGCAGGCCCCCATCCTCTTGCCATTTAAAAATAAGATTTCTCCTTGTCATGTAGTAAAAACTATACACATATTATGATTTTCAGATGTCAGCATTATCTCAGGATACAACAGCATTATAAATATTTAATTGTATATAAAATGAGAAGCTTAATAAAATTATTTTATCAAAACTATAAAAATTTAATATTCCTTCAAAAAATAATTTAATGACAATGGCATCCTCTACATTTTACTGGTTCTTCCCTGGATATCAATAAATAGGGCTCACTGTATGAAAACCAATCATTTCAAAATAGAAATTGACTTTTAAACTCTTCTTGCAAGCTTCTTCCCATTGCTTCAGAAAGAGTCAGGAAAAATAAATAGCAAAATCATAAAGATGGATGAGATGGGATACAACATCAACATGCAAATAAAATCGTGTTTTGCTTAATCTTTGGATAAATCAAAGAAAAGAATGGAGAGAATCAAATATACAATAACTATTTTTACCCTGATTTTTGCTTCATGTAGGAAAAAGATTTAAAAAATGAGGTTTCTGAGCTAACAAATGTTACTCACTCTTCTATTTCAAAAAATTTCACACATGCCAGATCAGAATAAGAAATATTTTTGAGTTCTGAGTAACTGAGTATGAATTTATAGTATTAAAATGCAAAAAAAGTTTAATATGTTACCCATTTTTTAAGATTCATAATTTTATAAACCATACTTGCAAGATCATGTGCCATTTATTTAGAAATTCAAGCACATTGATGCTTAGGTTTTGGGGGAAAGATTTCATTATTTGACATATTTCTAGATAAAATCAAAATCACTGTAGAGATCAAGGAAGTGACTCAAGTGGCTGAACCCATTCCAAACATGTCCATAGTCTTGGGTTCAATCTCCAGTATTGGTAGGTGTGCCCCCATGACTGAAATAAATCACAACAACTGAAATAAATCAACTGAAACCAAATCTTTGCATACCTATCTTCAACAGTTGTGAGGTAAGCCTTCTCACTGTCACAGGTCTGGTTTGCTTCTGCAAACGTTGAAAGTGAGTGACCAATCATATAGCAGTAAAAACCATGTCTTTTCCAGCCCTAGAAAGCAGATGGTCATGCATATTTATTGAATAGTCTTATCTAATAACTCTTCTATCATGAAACATAAGTTGTTAAACAACAGAAACGTTTAAAGAACACAAATCTGCAATTATTAAAGTGTCATGACAATCATTTATACCAACAGCAGTATTGTTGCTCAGATGACAAGTTATGGCATAAAAGAAGAGAGGACAAATATTCACTCCAATCCGATGTATCCCCATCCCGGGAAAAAATTGGTCTGTCAAAATGTTTACCAAAAAATCAGAACAGCATTGCTTCAGTTTCAGTTCTAGCATGGGTAACCATGAAAAGCAAACAGAACAGCAAACCAAATTTCCTACCGAGGTCACAGGCAGACCACAAGGATCAACCTGCCACATCTGGTCCAAAAGAGAACTCTGGCAGCCTGATTTAAGGTGGTTTCTCCTCCACGTTTCAAGTACGTGTAACTTCTAAATGAAAACATAGTAGCGAACAAAAAAACTTCATACCAAAGTTTGAGAGAAAGAAAATTTTCCAGGTACCAAAAATGAGTGGAAAATTGAAAGATGGAAAGGGGGAAGGAGGCCTAAATTGAGATTCTGGTGACATGGCATGTACTATACCTTACCTCAGCACCAATGACTAAAGTGCTGGGGCATTTTTGGCCACAGATCATCCACTAATACTGAGAGACAGCCAAAAATTGTTGCCAAAAGTTACTATCCACCAAAGGCAGCTGTCTCTGAAAGGATGAGAAAACCAACTCTGAAAGGGTGAGAAAACCGTCTCTGAAAGGATGAGAACACTGTAAGGGAACGCAACAGATGCTCAGCTTTTATTAGGGCTCTGGGTGTAGGACAAAACAAATCCTGCTTAAACATAAATGCTGAATTGTGAAAGCTTCTAACTTTCTAGTCTTACTTTCTCTGACGGTCTGTATCAGCTGTTTTAGATTGTTTGTACAGTCTTACAGGGGTCTCCTGAATTTGAATACTTTCTTACACGCTGGTCTGATCACAGCCTGACACTCTTGGAAAGAATATTTGTTTCTTCTTTATTTTTGTGCAAGAGAAGTGAGAAAAGGGAAAAGAGGAAGATGAGCAAGGCAGAAATCAGGATAGGAAAAGAATCCACGTACAGCCCGTTCTGGGATATATGTACTTTCAGAACAAGACTTTACAGAGACCCTTCACCTGAACATCCAAGAAACACGAGGCCCGTGAAAAGCACACCTCTGGGGAGGCTGGGCCTCTATGGTGTGTCCTGGCATAATTCAGCTGACCTGAGATATACCACCCCTATCAGTCGGCCCCAGTCTTCTGCTTCCTGCTGCAGGATTCTGCTAAGACTCGTGAGTCTACTAGAAATGAGGGGAATATATGACGAGCTTTTGTTACCCACAACTTTAAAGTGACCTGAAGATCTAAAATGGCTCTCTGGGCGCATCTCTTCCAATACTAACTTGACATGGCTTCTCTCCTGGTCTGCCTTCATCTTAGTGCCCTCACCAGACTCAATTGATTATCAGTCCTCCCCTCAGAAGCTTTTGAAGGGAGTTCAAACCCCAGGTAAACTGGAGAGATTTCCTGAAGAAAGGAACAAGGCCAGCACTAACAGGTCATCACATGTCCATCAGGGGCATAAAGCAATCGCTCAGACCAGAGTTAGCCCATCCCCACCTCACCTCCTACTCGCTGAGATGACAGCAAATTTTGGACACCCCAGTACTCACCTTCCGGCAGCCAGGATCCACTGGCACTGGTCCGGGACTCTGGCCTTGTGACTTCATCTTGCAGATGTAGCCCAGAAGTTTCTCACAGGCGCGGTCAGCCCAGAACCCATCCTGTGGAGGAAAGCCAAGAGACAAAGAACAGAATGATCAGCTTGCATCCTGATACTTTCTCCCTGGAAGAGTGACCACGGAGAGTGAACTTTTTTTTTGTCCAGAGAAAGTGGCGTCTATGAAAAGGAAAAACAAATGGACACTTTATAGGGAGACAGGAAATCCTGCCCTGGCTTCAGAGATGTAAAAGGAGATTGTGTCCCTGGTGATGTTTTTCTATGTGAGGAGTCCTAGCCACCGGCTAAGAAAGCGCTAGGGAGAAGTTAGAGGCTCTTGTAAGCAAGTGTGGTGGAGGTGGTGTGGACAGATTTGTGAGCAGTCTCCTGGCAAACTGACAGTCGGCGGTTAACCAAGAGAAGAGAAAGTCATGGGGAAGTGCCCCTACAAGAAGCCAAACTCAAAGAGACCCCTGAAACCAGGCATCTCTCCACCCTTCTTCCTCTTTTTGCAGATAAATTAATTCCTGGCTGTCCACAGGCCCGGCCTTCCCACTACTTCTGAGCTCACCCTCTTCCACTTCCTTAGAACTAAGGACATGAGGAAGATCCTCTTCCCTTAACTGGACACACCTGTTACGTGTGGGGGCTCCCTCTCACCCAGTATGTCTCACTGAGGGTCAGCCCCCGCCCCCCCACCCCCTCTCCCCTCAATCCAGCACTCATCCTTTTTCAGCAGAAGGATACTTAAAACTTGCAGAGTTGGAGCAAGAGAGTGAGAGAGAGACAGAGAGATAGCAATAGAAAGATACAGAGAGAGAGAGAGAGAGAGAGAGAGAGAGAGAGAGAGAGAGCATGCTCCAAGGATGGAGCACAGACTTTGCATGCATGTCACCCAGGGATTGGTCTGCAGCTCCTCACAGTCCTCTGAGCAACCCCAGGACTGACCTCCCCTCCCCTCAGCACAGAGGACAGAGCCTGAAATAGAGCCCAATCACAGCAGGGGCGGGGTCTAAACCACCCACCTCCAGTTTACAGCATCAGGGCTGCCACTCCCCAGCTGGAGCTGTGTCCTCAACCTCATGCCAGTGTCCCCCACACCCCGAGCCACGCTCCTGGTCAGACCACCGTCTGTGCTCTGCTCATCTGAGGCTGTCTGACTTCCCTTCTCCATATACCTCTCTGCCAGTTCTCTGGATGGGTCATATCTGCACTTAAGCTTTCAGCTCATCACAATAAAAGCAATCACAATGGCAATGATGGTAGTGAAAATAACTGAGCAAAAAACGTCAGGGCCACATGCAGAGAGTCAGGACCAGACACAGCATCTATGACTGTGCACTATTTCAGGCTCCATTGTCTGTGCTGAGGGGAGGGGAGTTCAGCAGGGGGAGAGGGCGGTGCACAGAGGACTGTGAGTTGCTGCAGACCAATCCCTGCATCAGTAGTCCCCACCCTGTGAGTGGGGGACACTTCCTATACCTCTACTGAAAATGGAGAAGGAAATTGAGCATCAAACCTCACCTGGTTCAATTTTGTTTTTTCACCAGAGAGAATCTGATGACGATGTTAGGATTCAGAACAGGGTTAGGGATGTGACTCAGGGCAGAGGGATGGAGTAATGGGAAAGATCTAAGTAGATCTTGCCTTTCATGTGTGGAACCCTGGGTTTGATTCCCAGCACCACAACACACATACACACACACACACAAAGAGAGAGAGAGAGAGAGAGAGAGAGAGAGAGAGAGAGGACATGGAAGCAATCTTTTCATATCTGACAGCACTATCTGACTCTCACTCTCTCACTCTTTTAATCTTTGAAAATCAATAACAATAATAATTATTACCCTACAGGGATGGATTCCAAGCTGTGGGAGCCCAGGATATAAACGGGGCTATACCAACCCAGGATTATCAGCCAAAAGTTGAATTAATGCTCTGATTTCATCTGCTGCATCCTATATCTAAAGCATCGTTATATCTTTAGATGCCAGCATAGGAACAATCTGACTATTGTCATTGGTTAATTTCATCCCAGAACCAAAAGTTTCTGTTGATTTTTTTTATCCTACTTCATATTTTACTTGATGTGCTAATTTAGACTAAAAAAAAAACACCCCGAATTTAAATATTGGTTCAACCTGCATCTATGCCAATGACCCTCGAATAACAACAACTGAAACAGCCACTGCATGTAGGAAATGCAGCACCAAGCAGACATCTCTGCCCATTGGTACCCAGGCTGCCTCACCTTGCCTTTCATCACAGTGCAATCCTCCTGCCTGTTGTTTTCATGGCTTGGTTCTCCGCGGAGCCATTTGGTGAACGTTACAGGGGTCCCATCACTCCATTCAAAGTACATTTGAATCTTGATGTCATTTAATCCTATCCATAGCTCATCGTTGGGTTCTAAATAGGAAGAAAACACCACCATCATTTGCATGATTTTCTTCCCCCACATCAAAAGATTCTCAGGAAAGGAAGACCTTCGGCTTTACCCATAAATCATATCTGCTGCCCTGATATCATAATTACCACAAAAGACCATCTTCTGGAGTGTGATTCAGATCTATATACTTAAGACTGACATGGCAAGGACATTTCAAGCTGCCACGTTGAGTTGAAAGGTGAAGTGTATTCTTCGCACGATGAAAACACCTTGTTCATTTGCTGTGCGAGTATGAATCCTATCTTGTGGGGACTGCAAAAATGAAATTGAAGTTGGGCTGTTATTACCCTCTATTTTGTCAATAGATGATTTGTCAGGATGATTCTTTTTTCTTAAAAATAACACACAGCAAACATACTGTGTGCAGAGTATTGAAAATGAGGTTGGTGATTTATACTTGAAGGTATTTTCCTAGGACTAAATCTTATACATTTTTCAAAATAATGAATATGTTAAGAAACACTTTCCTTTTAGTGACTATATTGTTATCCAGAGTGTTCTGGGTGAAAATGATCTGGACAAGGAGAAGAGGCATAAACTGCCTCCTAACATTTGGCCCTTAACTAATTAGTCTAGAAGTCATCATATAATCACTTTCGCTATGAAATAATCGGAAAAAATAAACAAGTAAAAAATCAAAACAAACCACCCAATTTCACTGCCCTTCATCTAAATTTGGATGTCTGAAACAACAGTAACAGCTGCAGCAGCAAAAGGTATAGATATAAAACACAACAGTCCTGTTTGAAAATTCTATGAAGAACCTAGTTGATTTCATCAGGAGCAATAATCCTAAAATTCCAAAGATCATTACTAAAATGGAACACAATTAAAGACCTGAGATTGCATGGCTAAAAGGATACATTTCCATATTTTAAAAATCAACAAAAAATATAAATGTTCTTATTTAATTTGTACTACCAGGAATTTTCCCACTAACATTTGATTTAACATCATCGAATTATAAATCCTTACCAAATGATTGTTAAGATGAATACTGTCATACAAAAAGAGCAAAATGTCACATGGGACAGGAATTTCCCTAATTGTCAAGGTCTCTTCCTCCTCAGAGATGCCACTCAACCTTGCTTTTGGAGAAGTCTTTTCCTGGCCCAGGGCCAGCCCAGCAGATGTTTCCAGAGTCTTAGACATAAAAGACAGGGCCAGGATGATTATTTTCCCCCTTTCACTTAATTTGGCAAGTCACAATCTTTTTAACAACAATCTTCAAAACTGAACTCAAAGGACTGAAGTTCAAATCTAAGGAAAGTCTAATTCCAAGCCCCACAATTGGAATCTAAGCTCCACAATTAGAATCAAGCATGAGACATTTCTTTCTCTCCTTCCCTTACACTTCTATAATCCTCCTGGCAAAACTCAGGCCCCACAAAAATGCATAAGAGGAAGTTACTACCCATTGAGTAGGTAGGATTCAGTTGATGAAGCTGTCTTAGCTGATACAGCCGTTTCATGTGCAGGTCCCAACTTAGATATTGTAGGTCTGGGGATCATATAAGAAACATCTCAACTAGATTTTTTGTTTGCTTGTTTGTTTTTTCCTAGGACTGGAGAGAGAGTACAGGGGCTCAGGCACATGCTGTGCACATAGTCAAATCCTATCACAATCCCTAGCACCCAGGGTCTCCTGAGCAACTCTAGGTGAGGCCCTAAAGTCCCTTAAGCATTCCTGGGGGTGGCCTGGGTGACTCCTGGCTCCATAGGGCTGAGCAGCAGCCCATCCTCTCAGTTGACTGCCTGCCTAGTTGGTCAACTATCACAGGAAAAACCTCTGACCCTCCTGAACAACTCTTGCGAGTATCTACCCCCCTCAAAAATAACACTTTTCAAGACCTGTAATTGAGAAACAATAATTCGAAGTTTATGACTTAGTGTTCATCGATATTATTTTTATTTGGGGGTTTGGTTTGGTTTTTTGGTTTTGTTTTGTTTGGAGGCCACACCCAACAGTACTCAGGGCTGACTCCTGGCTCTGCACTCAAGGATCACTCCTAGTGGGACTCAGAGGACCCTATTGGGGTGCCGAGAATCGAACCCAGGTTTGTTGCCTGCAAGGCAAACACCTTACCTGCAGTACTATGACTCCAGCCCTATCATCATTATTACTATCCTATTTTAAAGAAATCTTTCTCTCTAGTAAAAATGGTTTTCCTAGTGAAAATGTAAACGATCTCAAATTGAATTGAATAACATCCTTTATCAGCTCCCTTTCCAGCACCGTCAGAGTACTGAACCATTGCAGGTTCTCCAATCCATGTTCTATGAAGTAGAGACAAACCAGCAGTGGGGGCCTGCAGCCTCTAGATTTGGGTATCTTCTATGGCCTCTTTGCACACTTGCCTACCTCCCCAAGTCTCCTGGGACTACTGGCACATGCCCATGTTGGTTTCACTTGCACCTCTAGCTTGCATTCACCGGGGAGCAAACCAATTAGAGCCTGCAGAGACTATTACCACAATCCACTCATTCCATGAGGCGGGCAGGGAAGAACAGATTTATTTCAGGAGCTCTGGGGCCAAGAGTCCTGATGACTGGGGTGCATTATTTTCTCTATGCAATGATCCCACTTTCCTTGTCTGTTTGCTGCTCACTTTCTCCTCTTCCTCCCCACCAAGCTCCTGTGGATAGTCAGTTCACAAACCAGGAAGTGACTCCAGCACCCCCAGGCCCACCCACATCCTCTCTTCTGGAGGTGAAGAGCAGCAGCAGAAAATATCACCACTTATTCTCGAGCACTGCAGAGGGCCCGTCATCATGCAGTTCCTCCTTGGCCCCTCTTCTGGGAAAGCATTTCCATCTCATCCCACTCATGTGTACCATTGCTCTCTCGGAGTCAGGCTTTGAAAGCCTGGTTATCTTTTGGTGTGTACATTTTCTATTTATTTCTTAAGTTATCTACCTGACATTGAGATAGCAATATCTGAGGCTTATGCCAATATCTAAGCACTCCCATAATAATGATGATTTCTCTCACTGTTCAACATACAAGAAGCATTTACCCAGCTAAAAATAAAGCCAAAGTTCATTGAGAGACCCTCCTTATGTGAGAAAATAGGGGGCTTAAAAAGGAAAAACAAACACCCTCCAGGATCATTGTCTCCCAACCAGTAAAAGTTTATTAACAAGTTGAAAGTAGATGTGTCTGGGGCTGAAGTGATAGCACAGCAGGTAGAGCTGTGCTTTGCACAGCCTTTGCAAGGTTTGCCTTGCACGAGGCTGACCTGGGTTCAATCCCCAGCATCTCATATGGTCCCCCTAGCACCGCCAGGAGTAATTCCTGAGCACAGAGCCAGGAGTAACCCCTGAGCATCGCTGGATGTGACCCCAAAAGATAAAAAAAAAGTAGATGTGTCTGAATCCAGATTACATATAGGAAAATGATCTTCATGTAACATCATTGATTACATATGTAAAGAAAAATAATATCCAGGATAAAGATTCTTTAAATTCCTACTCAATCTTCTTGTTTGGATATAACGGTCACATTCATGTTTAAATATGTGTTTAAGTAAATTGTCAGGGAACATGTCAAACTTTTCAAATGTCACATGAATGACTCCATTTTCTAGAGACGGGTAAGCACTGGGAAATGGGAGGCCCTTGGGATACTGCTGGAAGATTCTTACCATATCCCAGCTGAGAGATGATGAAATCAAACTCCTCAATGCTGTGGATGCTGGCCAGATCTCCCCCTTCCTTCCTGCAAGCCTTCAAGGCATCCCTCTGGATCTTCTCCTCTCTGTGAATCCTGTAACAGTGCCCTGCGTACGGCCACCACTGCGCAGGACAATTAGCTGGCACATCACTTTCTGCAAGAATAAAAATGTGGGAAAGATTTTTTTTTCATTGTAACAATTATTTTTCTCACCCTTGATATGAAACAGCTGGCCAAAGAAAGATTATTTTTTTTGTTAGCTATGTGCATTCACAAAAACTAGACTGGGCTGTATTTGCTTTTAGACTAAAAAGCAAATGCAATTCATCTTTAATTTAAAAATAAAGATAGATGGGAAAGGTGTGTGTGTGTGTGTGTGTGTGTGTGTGTGCGTGCGCGCGCAGTGGGGGATAGAGGTTGAACATGGGGCGATATAAAATGCGAGACAAGTACTCTACTACTGTAATTTTAAAAAATTTTACCTATAAGGTCCAATCAAGATGCAATAAATTAACTCGTTTTTCCTCTTCCTGTCATCAGATAACTTTACTGGCTCATTATATGAATCTACAAGGGGTCTGACCTGTAACACTGGCCTTACATAGTGGACATTAGGGAGGAACCGTTTCTTCAAGGAGGAACAAAAAGATGAATTGAAGTGGGAAGTAGATTTGGGGTGCATAAACTGTCTCCCTCCCGCCAAAAAAAAAAGATTTTCTGTGATTTTGTGTCAAACATAATGATTCCTATTCAGGAAAGTTTTGGGCTGAATGTGAATGCGCGTGAGCTGTGGGGTCGCAGGATGACACCTCACTTGAGGCAAAGGACCCACATGTGTGTGCAAAAGCACTGTAGTCATGTTAGAACTCCTGCTAATATGAAGCTAGCCCTCTCCATGGTGTTCTGCTGAACCAGAAAGCTTTTGAGATAACAACCATAAAGTATAACCATTCCCCAACTGTTATTTAATTAAACCAGGTATGTGCATCCAAGATCCTGTTTTTGTTTGCTTGTTCATTTTGTTTGTTTGCCTGTTTGTTTTTAATGCTCAGGGCTTACTCCTGACTCTGTTTACAGATAACTCCTGAAAGAAATCAAGGGACCACAGGACCACGTATGGTACTGAGAATCAGCTGGATGCAAGGCAAGCACCTTACCTGCTGTGTATGTCTCCAGCTCCAAAAATACCAACTTTGCTACTAAGAATAAGGGTCACCAAAAGTAGGGAGTATGAGAGAAATTGTCTGCCATACAGGCAGGAGGAGGGTTTGGATGGGGGTAGGAGATACTGGAGACATTTGCACTGGTGGAGTGATGGGTGTTCAATCATTGTATGACTGAAACTCAAACATGAAAGTTTGTAACTATATCTCATGGTGATTCAATAAAAATAAAAATTAAAAAAAAGAATAAGTGTTACACCTTACCATATTGACTTTACATTGCAAAAACATACTGATTGCCACGAGCCTGGGAAAGTGAGGATGTCAGGAGGTGAAGACTCACCTCTTCCTCTCCATCTGCCCTAAAACTGGAGGTTCTGGCACATGGGAGGTGGAATGCAAGTTGGTCCAGGAAAACACAGAAGTTCTATTTCATATATAGCAGCTTCTTATAACATTTTGTTTATTTTTTATTATTACTTTTTGTTTAGGGGGGGGCACACCTGATGGTGCTCAGAGCCTAGTCCTAACTCTGCACTCAGGGATCACTCCTGGTGGGCTCCGGGACCATATGGGATGCCCGGGATAAACCCCCCAGTTGGCCGCATGTAAGGTAAGTGCCCTCACCACTGTACTATCACTCCGGTCACCATAGTATTTTACAGATACTATGCCAAACAGAAAATTTTTGACAAGCCTTGCTTTAAGAGGGATAATAATGCCAAATAAACATCAATTTCTATATTTAAATTTGACACTCTTCTTAAATGTACTGCACTGTAATCATTCAAGTGAATAAATAATTGTGAGTCCCAAACACTGTATGACATAGAGTTATAGAAAAATATACCCTGAAGTACTTAGAGGTCAGCAGAACCACACCCCATAGTACTGGTGGGGATCACCAGGGCTACCCTGGAGATGAAGGCGGGGGAACAGGGCAGGGGTTACATGGAGTCAGTGATCATACTCAGGGCCTTGCACCTGCAACCATGAGCCTGTCCTTGGGTTGTATCCCCAGTCCCCCAGTCCCCGAAAAGTGCCTATTTGAAAAACCCCACTCCCTCCATAGAGTCTCGATGCCAGACACTTCCTGTGGTTCTCATATGTGTTGCTAACATATGTCATATGTTTGTCAGTGTAACTCTGGAGCCCTCTGGTGGGAATTTTTTATTTTGCTGCCCAGTAAAATGAAGATAAAGTCAGCAAACGCTAAGAAGGGTTTCAAAAAGGAAAGAGATGAACTTTAAAAAGATTTTAAAACATGAAAACAACTCATAGACGAGGTATTCCCTGGGACAGTGACAGAAGTTAGCCTGTTTTTAAGCAGCACAGTCCAACAGAAACATAACGTGAACCACCAATGCAAGCCGCAGGCATCCTGTTAAATGTGCGGGTCACTGTGTTAAATGAAAGCAAAGAAAGAAGCCAGTACATTTCATGTTAATAATAGGTTTTCTTTCACTCAATATATCTAAATATTATCATTTCAACCATGTCATCATTAAAAAAATAAATAAGAAGATAGTTTTTCTCTTTTTCGTGCTGAATCTTGGAATCTGGTATCTGTTTGGCATTTACAGCCCATCTCAGTTGGAAAAACCACATTCCTAAGGCTAAGGGGCTGCATGTGTTTACGTGGCGACGGAAGAGGGGAGACAGACCCAGAGACCCCCGGAGTTGGGCATTAACAGGGCCGCATTACAGAGACCCCAGGTACGAGGTGAGGTTCTGGCCATGGGGGGGAAACCAGTCACTTCATCTCCAACACACCTGACTTGATATGTTAGCGAGGATTCAGCCAGGGAGCAGAGTGATCATGAAGAACACAAGGACAAGCGAAGGTTGGTAAGAGAGCAAGGCAAGGCTGAAAGGAAGAAGAGTTACTGCCTGGAGCACAATGTGGACCAACTCTTACAGGAAGAATGGGTCTTCACGCTTCCCTTTTACGATGAGGAACCTAAGCAGAGGGGTGAAACAAGGCCAGCTCACAGAATTCTGTTTCCTGGACCAGGGAAACCAAAATAACTGCCCTCCCCCTCCAGACTGGCAATTCCAAGCCCTCTGAAGAGGAATTGTTTGAGCTTGACCCAGAAGGGAGAGTTTAACAATTTCTTCTGAGGAAAGACTGGGGGGAGACACAATAAAATGATGAAGGCCTTGCCTGAGGTATCCCCACCATCCTATTATCTTCTCTGCCTCATAAACTCCAAAAGCATGACAAAACCAATAGCCAGCCCCTTGCTGATAAACCACTGGGAACTCTGGGCAGCTCTCAAGTAGTTATAACTGCAGTCATGGACCAGAGAGCCAGCCAAGAGGCTTCATATGTGGAAGACCCGGGTTCCATTCCCCGGGACACAATTCCTCACACTCCTCCAACATAAATAAGTAAAATGAAAAATAAAACTGCCCGCTCAGCTACTCTGCTCCAGCAACTTTACTTCTGGGAATGAGCAAATGCATGAAATAACATGCATGTAAAGTTTTTCACTATGGCATTGATTATAAGAACAGAAAACTGGGCATAAAACCAGAATCCAAATAAATAGGGAACTAGTTAAAAAAGAAAAAAAAAACAAAACAAGACTTTAGTCTCTGCAATGATGGTGATAGACCAAACAAAGGCATTTTTGAGCTACCAACACAGAAAGAAGTTTGAAATGGTTGAAAGTGAAAACATTGAAGATTGTTAGTATGCTATAAAACAGAGACACTTTTATAAGCACTTTCTCTCTATGTATATTGATAGACTAACAAATGAAGAATACACTACCTTAAAAATATGATTTACCAGAGAAGGAAGGAAACAGGAGGAAAACAGAAGCAAGAGGGGGGAGGAAATGTCATTTATAGCTTTGTACCTTTGGTTTTCCTGGGCTGGTCGATCATGTTTCTTTTTATTATTATTATCTTATTTCTACATTTTTAATAATTTTTAATTTTATTTTTATTAATGTAGGGGTATTTTTATGAATGTTATTTTTATTAATAAATAATGCTATTTATTCAGCCATTGATTAAGCTGTCAATCATGTTTCTTTATAGGAGTTGTTTTAAAAGTTTAAAGAGAAAAAAAGTTAAGAATGCCACATTCTCAGATTTTTCAAGCAGAATATATATGTGCACTTGTACAGGCACAGGTCCACACATCAATCCTTTAAGATATTTAAGCGTTTCTTCAGTATTTTCTGAGAATGGGGGGGAAATGGAAGTTTCTTCCTGTCAGTTTGAAGAAAGGATTTGTTCTTGACTCAGCAATTTTATTTTTCTCTCTAATTATAATGGATGGCATCTTTGGAATGTTTTTCTAGAGTCAGGCCTCTATTTTAAAACTCAACTACAATGATTCCATTCCTAGTTAAGACTTCGGTGGAAGAGGTAAACTGACCAACACTGGAACCCAGGCAGCCCCTTCAATAGCAAGGACATGGTATCAACATCTCTTCCTGTGGGGCTGGGGAGATGCTTCAATAGGCTGAGAGCTTGCAGGAGGACCAGTTTTGACCCCCAGCTCCACTGCAAGCAAACCCCTTGAGCACAGAGCTGAGAGCACCCCGAAAAGTATTTCTTTCCTAACTCGATTTCCACTGTAGTCTCTTGTGTACGTTTTATCTATCTTCTGATCATTGTCTTCCTTTTCTCAAACATGTGCTTGCAAATGCCCGTGTCCAGGGCGGCTGTTAGAGCAATTCTGACTTTGACAAAGGTACTTTCCAGGCCTGCACAGACCGGGACATTTCAAGCTGGGGACTTACCTGATGGGATAATGAAGGGGTTCAAGGTAGTGTTTCCCCGCTTGCAGATATAGCCGAGTTTCTGGACACATTCCAGATTCTCCCACTTGGCATTTTTCCCAGGGTTTAGTGACACACAGCTCTTTCCAGGCTCTGCAGATGGACTTCCTTTGGGGAAAGAAAAAGTCAAGATCAGTATCTGAAAGGTATTATAAGAAGAGCACCCCAACTATCAAGACTTCATCCCAGGGTTCAAAGACCCCTCTTCCCTTTGCTGCACATTCACAACTAACTATTTAGCGACTGCAGAGCAAAAGAAAGGACTAGAACACATCTTCTTATTGCTGAATAGTTCCAGGGCCTCAGATTTAACTCTGCTAGAATATCTCTTAGAAATAACTTTTTCTTTTTTTACCTTACCAATGAATAAAATTAGACCTTGTAACCTGAGCGATCTTCCTGATGAGGTAGTTGTGTAGAACAAGGTGGTTCTTCATGGAAAATATATAGGATTTTACAAACCTGCTCTATTCCACTTGGTATATACGTACTCCCAAACTAAGTCAGAGAAGTGTGAGAACCAGACTAAACAATGTATAGACCTGGGAAAATTTTCTCTGGCTAGAGAAAAAAAAGACAGGAGAGAAGATCAGTGAAAGGAAGAAGAAAAGGCCAGAAGCAGAAAAGTGATGTAAAAGGAGGCCCAAGCCAGCCTAGAGCCCAGACATTTGCTCAAGGTTCTCAACTCACCCCACCCCAGACAAGTCTCCTCAGCTTTTTCATCTCCTCATCCCATATGCTGAGGATGAAAATTCTACTCCCTCTTTTTTCCTGAAGACGTAAGATAAAGGTAGGCACAGGAGCCCACATTTCTCATGCCCTTTCACTACTTTAATGTTTGCTTTATAAAACCAGCTCTGTGTACCCCTTAAAATTAGCACCCCTCATTCATGAAGACAGGATGAAAGAGCCACATTTTGCAAAGAACTCTGCTTTATTAAAGGACCATAACCTGAGCACAGACCTTACTGCCCTTTCTGCAAGGTGGAAGGTAGCCCTTGAGAGCAACCAAGGGTGACCCACCACACCAAGACAAAATCAAAAAAAATTTAATTCTAAAAAATAATCCCAAAACTTGTTGCTATTGTAGCAGTCAACCAGATTATATTGAACTAATAACACACTAACCTATATGTGAGTGATAGAAGGAAAATTACAGAAGCAATAATTCACTTTAGAGGTATTGGTTATATTAATTACTAAATCATGTTAAATGTTTATTTATCAATAAAATATCATTACTATCTTTAATTTAGTAGTAATTAATGTTTTACATAGGTTATTTTACATTTGAATTCACATTTCTGTATCATTTATGTTACGTACCCTCACTTCAAATGTGGACATGTTTTAATAGATGCATTCCTTAATAACTACTCAATTGCATAATTAGACTCAGTTGAATGAGTGCAGGTGGTTAAATGTTATGCTCTCATCGCTCCAAAAATAAATAACAAAGTGACCAGGCTAACTGTCAAATTAAGCAACAGAAAATCAATCTAGACCCTTAATAAAAGATTATTATTGTCTAATGATGTGGTGGAGTGCATCTGGAATTCTCCAGTGTAATGTGACTGGGTAAGTAGGCAGACAAATCAAATCTTCACCCACAAGGAAAGGCATCTTATATTTTCCCAAAGTCTTGCTGACTTCCTATGCTCCAGAAAGATTGGGACACTGTGGCAAGACTCTAGGACAAAGTTAAAGCAACACACAGGGGAAGGAATAAACTGCAGTGGGGCAGATTTCACAGTAAGACATCTAATCAATTAAATGAAAATGCAGCCTCTAGAAATCACTCTCCCATTCAGTATGAAAATCATCTCATTAGATTCCTTTCATAATTTAAAAAAAATGGGGGTGGGGACTCCTAAGCATTGCTCAGGGAGGTTGGGGCCACTCCCAATAATACTTGACCAACACAGCCAGATGTTCAATTCTTGGCCCAGTGACACAGGGTCACTTAGGCCATTCACACTGGAGATCACCAGGATCACTCCTAAGCAGGGTTCTTCAGGGCACTACATCTTCATGACAAACGCATGCTCTGGATAAATTCGATTATGGACAAGCTGAACCCTACCTGGTAACCAATTCAGGTATCGGAATGGGCTGTCATCACTCCACTGCCATCCACTGTTGAAACTCAGACTGTTCAGACCGACCCAGAGACCTGAGGTCAGGGAGCTGGTTAATCCTATGGAGTAACAAAACAGAAAACACATTCAGAAAAGACAGTGAGGTCAAAGTCAGGGAGTCACATAGCATATCTCCTCCAATTCTCTAAGGAGAGACCCTCAAGATCAGAGCAATACTCACCGGCAATAGCAGACGAAGAAAATGACATAAGGGAAGTATGTAGGTGAGGGAGTTCTTGCTGAAGGTTCAACCCAAATCCTACGGGGCATCAAACCCCTCCTGTTAGCCTCTCCTGTTTGATTATCATCCCCTTCATTTTTTAAATTATATTTTATTTTATAAAGCAGTTCACAATTTCATTACACTTAATATTCAAATACCAATTACGCAGTCCCACCACCATATTTTGGGTGTTTCTATCCCAAATCCCAATGCTGTTCCAAAGCAGAAGCGAAATAATATATTTTATATTGTTTGTTATGAAAAACACTGAAAATGCTACAAAAAAGCATCCTTAGAGGAAAGAGGGTGAAGATTGTTGTATTTCACCATTAAGTCCTTCTATAAGGGGTCACTAACATTCTGTCTGTAAAAAAAAAAAATTTCCCTCTAAGGCTGGTTGCCTCCTACTTTGAACTTCATCAAATGTGGTACGGTACTCTTGGAGTATCGGTAGGGTATATGGTATGAGGTGGTATTTGTGGCCATGCAATCCAGAAATAGGTTCACTCGTGACATCCCCTTCATTTTAAAATAAAATAATCTTGATGTTATGTAACAGTCCAATTCCCTACTCTGAACATTTCAAACCTAATCTCATATTAAAATACTTGAAGAACTTGATTTAAACTTTTTTTCACAGTACTGGGGATCAAACCCAGGGTCTCACACATGCATGCAAGGCATGTGTTCTATCACAGAGGCACATCCAGAAAAATCTATAATTTCTGATAAACAACTTTTGTAGTCTTCATTATGAGATTTGTTGTTACTGTTTTTGGTATATCAAATATGTCATGGGGAGCTTGCCAGGCTCTTCCCTGCAGACAGGATACTTTTGGTAGCTTTCCAGGCTCTCTGAGAGGGACAGAGGAATCGAACCCAGATCGGCCACATGTAAGGCAAATGCCATACACACTGTGCTATCACTCCAGCCCCTCTGCTCGCTTCAGCAGCACATGTACTAAAATTGAAACGATACAGAGAAGATTAGCATGGCCCCTGCTATTGAACATTAAATGATTTTTTTCATAAAAACGTTAAAGCTGTATGAAACTAAATAATAATTATTTCCACATTTACAGAGGGGTAAAATAGAGGAAATGCTAGCCTTTCAGAATTGTTCAAGATAACATCCCAAAATGAGATCACTCTAGGTTTTCTTTAACGTATCAATTAAGGAAATGACCATAAATAAATTTTCAAAATAATCTACTACTTGTAGTACTGTAGCACTGTCCTCCCGTTGTTCCTCAATTTGCTCTAGTGAGCACCAATAACGTCTCCATTGTGAGACTTGTCACTGTTTTGTCATATGGAATACGCCACAGGGAGCTTGCCAGACTCTGCCGTGAGAGCGAGATACTCTTGGTCGCTTGCCAGGCTCTCCTAGAGGGGCAGAGGAATCAAACCCAGGTCATCTGCATGCAAGGCGAATGCCCTACCTGCCGTGCTATCACTCCAGCCCCACTACTTGTAATAATAATCAAATTATATTTTGTGTATAATGATTGAACAAAATAACAATGTTTGGTATAAAAAGAAGAGGTGAGGGATTACCAATCTCTTGATGTCCCTATCTGCTCTAGAGACTGGAGGCATTTTTCAAGAATTGAATTCACACATCTTAAGAGAGAAACCAGCACACTGCATGTGTAAACGATTTCTATAAGCAATAACTTACTTATAGTGTAAGCTATAAGTGTAAGCTATTGCTATCATCACTGCTGTTGTTATTGCTATTCATATTCTGTGTTGTGGCAGAAAGTCTGACTGAAACACAATTCAAACTTATCTATTTAGACATAAACAAATGGGACTACATTAAACTAAGAAGCTTCTGCACCTCAAAGGAAAACAGTGGCCAAATACAGAGAGAGCCCACAGAATGGGAAAAATACTTAGCCAATATCCATCTGATAAGGGGTAAATATCTAGGATATACAAGACCCTAATAGAATTCTACAAGAAAAAGAACCTCCAACTCCATCAAAAAATGTGGAGAAGAAATAAATAGAAAATAACTCAAAAAATAAATACAAATGGCCAAAAGGCACATGAAAAAATGTTCTACATCACTAATCATCAGGGAGATACAAATCAAAACAACAATGAGATATAATCTCACACCACAGAGACTAGCACACATCAAAAAGAACAAGAACAACCAATGCTGGCATGGATGTGGGAAGAAAAGGACTCTCACTGTTGGTGGGAATGTCGACTGGTCCAACCTCTTTGGAAAACAGTATGGGCACTCCTTAAAAACTGGAAATTGAGCTTCCATAGGACCCAGAAATACCACTTCTGGGAATATACCGTAAGGGTACAAAAAAGCACAATAGAAAAGACATCTGCACCTGTAGTTCATTGCAGCACTGTTCACAATAGCCAGAATCTGGAAACAACACAAGTGCCTGAGAACAGATGACTGGGTAAAGAAACTTTGGTACATCTACACAATGAGATACTATGCAGCTGTTAGGAAAGATGATGTCATGAAATTTGCTTATAAGTGGATCGACATGGAGAGTATCATGCTAAGTGAAATGAGTCAGAAAGAGAGGGGCATAGAATGACTGCACTCATTTGTGGGATATAAAAGATCATAATATGAGACTAACACCCAAGGACATTAGACACACGGACCAGGAAGATTGCTCCATGGTTGGAAGCTGCCTTATGAACTGGGGAAGAAGGCAGCTAGGCAGAGAAGGGATCACTAAGTCAATGATGGTTGAAGGGATCCCTCTGTATGGGAGATCTGTGCTGAAAGTAGATAAAGGACCAAACATGATGGGCTCTCATTATCTGTGTTGCAAATCATAATGCCCATTAGTAGAGAGAGAAAGTAAGAAGGAAACTTTCTGCCATAGAGGCAGTGGGAGGGATGGGGTTGGGGGGAAGATACTGGGGACATTTGTGGTGGAAAATGTGAACTGGTGGAGGGAATGGGTGTTCAATCATTGTATTGCTGAAACTCAAACATGAAAGTTTTTTGAGTGTTGTTCACTATGATTCAAAAAAAAAACCCCTTATGTATTTAGTACATCACTTAAAACAGACAGCATCACTCTCTACACTTTTTCCTCTATTGGGATTTTGAAATTTTTATAAAGGTGCAGACTAAAGAATTTTAGAAAACATCAATTAGACATACTAAATATTTTAATTTCTTCTTTATGGATTCTCTGAAATGGATCTCTGGCTACTTCTGAACTTAACTCTAACAGAAGATGCATTCATGCCAATATCACACTGGCATTTTTTTTCTTTTTCATTCTTGTGGTCCAATTTGTTTTCCAGGCAGCTCCAAAGGAAATTGGCAAAATGATCAGTGAAACAAGCCAAATTTCACTTCCTACATCTGCTTTCAGTTCTGCAAATACTAATTTTGCACATATGTAGTGATAAATCTGATTTAGGAATTGAGGATTAAACAGTATGCCCTAATATTTTTGAGGATAGAAAGAGAAGTGAAGGTGATGAAAGGGTGGTAGGTGATGTTAAGAAAGAGTTTCTAGGCACAATAGTTAGCCATGCAGATAACAAGCAACGTGATTTCTCGTCACAAATAAACATACTGTAGCCAGAAACTGTGGCCTTTGAAATCAAGAATTCCATTGAGGACTTTTGGGAGCCCAGATCCTGGTCTTATAAGTGAGACCCAGACAGAGTGCAATGGAAAGGGGGTGGAATGGTAATTTTACTTGTTGCTGAGGAAGTCAGCTCAGAACATGAGTCATTAAGCAAGTGTCTAAGTTCACCCTCCTACACTTTCACCCCACCTCTCAAGTGGGGAGCATATTCAGGTAGAAGACTGGTGTGAGTATGAAAAGTCAAGTTCAGTGTCTGGCACACAGCTGTTCAATGAACAATAGCTTTGTGATCTTAAAATAAGCTCAAAATTTTTAATCATATTTATTCCTAATATACATCATATGAAAAATTAGAGGGGGGTAATGGGGCCACACTTCATAGTGCTCAAGGGTAACTGCCAGCTCTATACTGGGGGTCATTCTGACAATATGCTTGGGGACCATAAGTACCAGGGTTCAAACACAGGCCTCTAGCATGTGTTCCTGTACATTGAGCTGCCTCTCTGGACCAAAGAATCTTATTTGAATAGCATAATTCAGGGGGTGAGGAAGAGAACTCAAGGGCTAAAGAATAAGCTTCGCCTGTATAGGTATAATACATTGTCCAAAGCCTACCAGGTGTGCTTCCTCCCAAATAAACACATCGCTGCTTTAAAGGTAGATTAAATTAATTAATTTCATTTTAGCCAGGGTTAGCCATGTAGCTCAGTAGTAGAGCACTTGACTTATATGCACAGGACTTGGCCTTTATATCCTGCCATTGCAAATGAGTAAATAAGAAATAAAAATATAACTATTCTGGGTTTTTTCATCTTAGTATCTATCACATTTCCGCCAAACCCAGTTAAATCTAGCCCCCATACTTTCTAGATTCTTCCCCAATATATCTCGTTAAACCCAAAATATAAGTATCTTCACACAAACACAAAAATTCTATTAGTCTAGCTCCTATCAGAGCTTTTCCTTATAATGTATGAGTTTCTGTAATTGAGGTAATATGGTTACAATCATGTTAAAGTTAATGCTCTTGGTGTACAAAGCTATTGCCCTGCCATCACTACCAGTACCAAAGGCCTGCCACCATTGTCCTCATGTAAAGTCTCATCTTCCTCTTTCTTCCCCACCTCTACTCTCTGCCCCCAAAACTGTGAATATCCGTACAGTAGTCAAACACCAAGGTTTTGTCATCAATGAACATTGTACATAACCTAGCACTGTTTCTTTATATTGCACATATGAGAGAGATCATCTGGTATTTGTCTGAATATTCTGACTTAGTTCAGTTAGCTTAATCCCCTCTAGTCCTTATCTTAGAGATGAATAGAATTTCCCACCATATATATATATATGTGTGTGTGTGTGTGTAAACAGCTGTTTTTTTTTTAACTTGCAACGTTGTGCATGTGGGAAAGGTGATTTAAGCTGCCAAGCCATTTTCTGGGCCCTAGTTTGTCTGTTGTTTAATCCACTCATCTGCTGTTGGATACTTTAGATTTCTGTTATTGGAAAATTATACTGCAATGAACGCAGCTGTGTGTATATCTTTCTGAGTTCATGGTACTAGAGATACATGCCTAGGAGTAGACTGACTCACTGGATCATATGGGAGGCACATTTCTAATTTTTTGACAAGTCACCATACTATTTTCCAACAAGTCTGATACAGATGATATTCCTACCAGCAGTAAAGAGGATTCCTTTGACACCACATCCCTGCCATCACTAGCTGTTTCCAGTCTTTCTGACAGATGGCAGTCCTAGCTAGAGTGGGTGAGATGAGATGTCTTTGCCGTTTGGCTTACAATTTTCTGATAACAGTGAAGATGAACACTCTTCCTTGTGCCTATTGGCCATCCATTTGTTCTCTTAGAGGAAGAATCTGTTCACCTCCTTTCCCCATTTTCTGATGGATTTGTTTCCTTTTTTGTTGTAGAGCTGTCTGCCATGCATGCTTTAAATATATCATATATATTATTCCTTTGTCAGATATGTGGTATACACATATTTTCTCCCATCCAGGATGGTGTCCTTTCATTTTCGTCCTACTTTCTTTCACAGACAATCCATGACATTTTTTGACTTTAAAGCAGGAAAGACTAACCATCTCATCGGAGAAATCATTCTCATCCAGATTTCAGTTCAAAGTTGCTGACTAAAATTCCCAAGGCTTGGAAAAGCATCCAATAAGAATCTGAGGTGAACTCAGCTTCTGAAACCCTGGAGACTTGTTTGCTCTCATGGGGGTGCCAACAATAGCACAGATTAGGGAAACATTTCCTGCAGACTAGTGTGATAACGAAGCAGGACCCGGAAATGCCTCTGGGCCCATGGTGTTTCTCTCTACTAGGAATTTGAGAAAAGTTCAAGAAGTAAGCTGGGCTCTGGCCCTGGGTTTCCAGAAAGTCAGAGGTCCAGTAAACACCAGAAAGTTATGATAATACAGCCCACAGACTTCCACTCCCCCACAAAAGACAAATAAAACCAGGTTTCATTCCATGCAGGCAAATAGGCACAAATTTCACCAAAGCCCAAATCATTCTTGTTGCTACTCCTGAATCAGCTACCCGATCTTAGTTTTGTCTCTTTCTGGACTATCTTCTCTTTGTCCTTATTTTCCTGATGAGATGTAAATGTTAGTGACTTTGATACTGCATTCCTGTGTCAAACCCATCCCTAAGCCAACACAAAGTAGAACCTTTGTGTTGAATCCCCTCTCTGGGCTGATGGCTGCACAGTCAGAAGATGGGACCTTGCTTTTGTCACTCTCTCTCATTTACGCAAGAAAATGGTGAGTTTCTGCCAACACTGGCTGAAGAACATTAAGACATATTAAACATAACGTCCAACAATTCCAATAATATATTTCATTTCAGAGAATCCATTCATGATCTAGCTCCAGAAAGAGACAAGGTGTAGAAAAATGCCTCTTACCCAGTTATGCTATGTATGTTTCCTTAGCTTGAACTTTCCACCAAAATAATAGAAAATGGAGTAACCTCACTGATTTGCTGGAGCGAGCACCAGTAACATCTCCATTTTGAGACTTGTTGTCAATGTTTTGGGCATATTGAATACGCCATGGGTAGCTTGCCAGGCTTTGCCTTTGGGGCAGAATACTCTCAGTAGCTTGCAGACTCTCCGAGAAGGACAGAGAAATCTAACCCAGGTTGGCCGTGTGCAAGGCAAATGTCCTACCCGCTTGCTACTGCTCTGGCCCAGAGTAACCTCAATTTTTAAAAATGAAACTTTGTTTTTTTTTGGGGGGGGGGACCACTGGCAGTGCTCAGCAGTTACTCCGGGCTCTGCACTTAGGCATTACTCCTGGCAGTGCAGTGCTTGGGGGTCCACATAGGATGCCCGGGATTAAACCAAGATCAGCCCTGTACAAGACAAACATCCGAAATAACACTTATTTAATAATGTGTATACTACTACTCTATTTTTTAAGCCTCCCAAAATAAAATCAGGTGCAAACAAATAAAAACAAATAACCTAAGTATGTATTTATAGTTTTGAAGGGAATGGGAGACAGACATGGAAGCCACCATTACAAAACTGCTATAGACTAAAGAGAAAGGCGGCTGGAAGTAGAGAAAATTACATCTCAACTGTATGAAATGCTGGGAATTCCAGGTACACGAAAACAAAAAGTCACCTGGAAAAGAAAGAAGGCATGAGAAGGTGAGATGCAGATGGGAAACTCTCCGCTCAAGGCCATGAAACAGGAAGAGGACAGCAATAACAGGGCAGAAGAGAGCTTCCGGATGCCAGATGAAGATGTTATATCAATTATCTGGTAGGAAACGAGGGTCCCTCGGGATGTTTTGGAACTTGCTGATCACAGGGTCTAAGTTTGTCTGTGGGGCCAGAGAGGAAGCACAGGGATTAAGACACGTGCCTTGAGGATGGCAGACCCTGATTCAATTCCCAGGACTATATCATCTCCTAAGCACCATCGGGAGTGAGTCCTGAGCACAGAGGTGAGAGTTGTCCCTGAAAACCCCTGGGTATGAAACCAAAATCCAGTAAAATAAAATAAAAATCTCAAAGATGTAGAATATGTCAATCTAAAGGCTGGCCACGCTGGAGGGGGTGATTCTGGAAGCAAGTGATTAGGAATGCCTGTTCCCCACTGAAACAGCTTTCACCCCCAGCAAGGGTCAGCTCTTTTCATTTCCCAGTTCAGTAGAATAAGCGCTTCAAAAAGCTATTTTAATTTTAAAAACACTGTGAAGGAATATTAGTGTGAACCCCAAAACCAGTCAAATCTGGGAGTAAGCAGGATGGAAGAAACAGGATTTGGGGTTCTGAGGCAGGCAGATAGGTAGCAGAGGGACCATGGCAATGGAATTTCTGAGAAGTCATAAACCCAACAGTCCCAAACTGCAAGGTTTATTTAAGTCCTCAGTCAGATAAGATCATCCTGGCACCAGTAACAGATCCAGAGAAGCCTGGAGCCCCCTCTGAGAAATGCTCCAGCTGGAACAAAGGCCAGGAAAAGAATTTCAAAGACCATCAACCACTCCCAACTCTATCTCCTTAGCAACCACCCTAGTAACGAATCCTTACCTAACTAGAAAGCCCCACATGAAGGCAGGTTGGCGAAACTCTATACAAGCCTCCTTGAACAAAGGAAAGACTTGCATATGCTGCCTAAGCCCATTGTGTTTGTGCCCACGTAGCCAAGCACATTTGGTGCCCAAGCACATGTGTCACCTGCATCACCCCTCTTGAGATGTGGACTTTTATGCTTTCATATCCAATGCTGGAATGTGCGTAAGGGCTCTCTCTATATCTGAAGAAGCCCGCATTCTCCCTTGAGCACATTACACTCTCTCCCTTGGCCTTCCCTCCTTCCTCTTCCTAAGAGCCTCCGAATAAAATCTGCCTTCACCTTACCACTCATCTATTCCTGAAATTCTTTTCTGCAAGGCAATACAAAAACCTGGCAACCCTGGATAAGGCCTACGATTGACTTTCCTTTCCTAAAAAGAGCAAATCCTTGTTCCATCCTGAGTCCAAGTCTTCCCAGCCAGACCAGGGTAGCAGAGGGTGGTCAAAAGAAAGTGACCATCTCCCTCCTCCCTGGCTCACATAAGCCACCTATGGTGGCCCACTGACTTCAGTTCTGGGGCAGAGCTCAGGTTGGTTGCCCCTGCTTCTGTGGCAGAATTTTGTTTGATCAGCTTGAACTTTTTGGTGCTAATGGAAGGCCTATGACTACCAGTGAGACCCAAATCCTTGGACTGCATGACACCTCTGTCTTATGTCCAAGACTGACAAAAGCATTCGGTTCCCTGTTGGGAAGCACCTCCATCTCTGTCACCCTGACACTACTACCAAATACCACATCTCTGACCCTGTGACCTCCGTGTTAAAAACACCTTAAGTACCCTGCCACTTGATTCAACAGAACAACCACATTCCCTGTGTCTGAAGATACTGTTAAATGCATTGACTGCAGATTGATTGATTGGCATGTATTGATAGTGCATCTTCCATTCAGAGGCCAGGTGAATCCTTTGAACCTTTATCCACTCTGGTGCTAGAGTCGCCTACCACAAAACAATGCTAACTCAAGAGATGGCACCTGTTTGCCATCCCAGCTGCCATTTTCCAGGATGCAAATGTGTTGTACCCTCTGCCCTTAGAGACTTTATTGCCATGTCCACAAGCCCTATAGCAACTCTATTATAGATATAAAACCCCATGATTTTGCTTTGCTTTTTTTTTTTCATAACATTACCTGTCAGGTATGTCTGCTCATGTATCTCTGTGATGCTCAAGAGTTCGGCATCCTGTTGTTGACAACTCCTTCTTGCCTGGTGCCAAGTTAAAGCAGATTTGGAATTTATCTGGTAGGAAAGGCTTGTCAATGGGTCTCTAAGCCATAGGTTTTCACTTCCTTCAACTGTAAAGGAAGACAAATGGGATTGGCTGAATTATGCATGAAAGAGACTTTCCATGATCATCAAACACTCCTAGAAACATTACTACCACAATCTTCTCTCTCTCTCTCGCTCTCGCTCTCGCTCTCGCTCTCTCTTCCAAATAATTTCCATGTGCCTATGAAACAGTCTTCACTCCTGAAATGGAGATTTTTTTTCTTTTTGGGTCAAACTTGGCGATGCACAGGGGTTACTCCTGGCTCTACACTCAGGAATTACTCCTGGCGATACTCAGGGGACCATATGGGATGCTGGGAATCGAACCCAGGTCAGCTGCATGCAAGGCAAATGCCCTCCCCACTGTGCTATCACTCCAGCCCCTTGAAATGGAGACTTTTTAAACATATCATTGTTTCTGAGCTTTTTACAAGTCTAAAAAAATCAAAGGGCGGCATCTTCTCCTTCTTTTTTTTGTTGTGTGTTTGGGATCAGGTTGATCAGGAAGTGAAACATACACAAAGACTAGGTAATAAAGAGACACCAGACAAACTTCCTTAATCTAGTTGAAAAAAAGGGGGTGAGGGAAAGAATAGAAATAGATGCCTTTTTTTCTGGGAGCAGAGATGTTGTAGTTTGGTGAAAGATACAGTCAGTAGAGGGGAAGATCAAGGATTCCTTCTCCAGAATTTTCTAGACCAACATCTAAGCCCTCTCACTCACAGACTGACCTTATTTAAACTGTCAATTGCAAAATCCCATTTTCTCATCTCTAAATATATTATATATAGATAGCTCCTGGCAAGGGCAAATACTGTCATATTTTTTTTCAGGTTAAAGAAAACCCTATGATTTTTAACTTAGGTTTTACTTTGCTATTTGAGGATTCCCTATATATTCTATTAGTTTCAGATATATTTTCTAAAAATACATACTTTAAAATAATCTAGAAGGTAACACTTACTTATAGATCTTTGCATATAAGATGGTAGAAAATTAGTAATCAAGTAGGTTGATTATTTAAATCATTTAGGGATCTCTCTTCTCATGAAAAGAGAAGAGGAGAAAACTATATGACATCTCAAATTTTCTGAGATATTGTCAACTTGCCAAACAACTGGGTAGTTTTCCATCAGCTCATACTCTCTGCTATCACAATTCCTTGTATCTGATAAGGAAGCTAGTAGAGACCTTTTCATATCCTTTATGATATGAAACTTGTGGAAGAGGAAGAAAAATATAATAAAATTTCAGAACACAGACATTTCAAATATGTCATAATACAATTAAGATAGTACTATAAAAATGGTTTGAATTAGAAATGTTTACATTTAATGATCATGACTAGGGACCTTCCTGGTTTAATATCCAAACTGATTCTTCTCCAGGGACATGAGATCTTCCAAATAATGAGATAGCTTTGTAGTATGTTTTAAATATTCTTAGGAACTTGGGGGTTTTATTTATAAGATAGTAGGAAATATAATATGGTTTCAGAAAAGGGATTTATTTTCTTACTAGAAATAGAAGAAAGGAACATGAGTAACAAAGAAGAAAATTCAACCTGACTTTTAAATTTTGAGTTTTCATTTTGAAATCAAGGAATTGAAATGTATTCTCAACATATGTATGGTTTTGCTGACTGTGTTCAAATTCTCAAAGTAAACCAGCATAACCAAAGTAGAATGCTAAAGTTGCTTACTATGGGGAATTGAGAGAGAGGGATATTTTCCTTTTCCTGTTTTCATGACACTTGAAAATAAGTCTAAATAGAAGGAAAGCATTACAATAAACAATGCAGAGGACAAGGAAGAAAATAGAGTGTGTTTGGGGCCTTGTTTTCCTGTATTGGCTCTGCTAGTTAAGATACATAAAATAAGATGTCCTTTCAATGGAAGATCAAGACCTAGATAGTGAGATGGATCTGAGTCATAAAAAACTTTTCAAAAAAGCATCAAGTACATGATGCTCTTAAAAATGGTCATCGGATTTTCAACATTATTTTACTTTCACATTTAAAAAAAATACACTATCTTGTTCTATATACAGCAAGTTGGTCTCAAAGACATAAAGACTAAAAGATTATTCTAGAATATACTGGGGCTTCCTCTCCAACATCTATCAAAGTTAGGGGTTTTCTCTGTGATTAGACTTGTCACTTGTATCCCATCTAATGACTTCAAATCAAGTGTTTCTTTCATAGCTGCCTTTTCAGGCTGGGATTGTCGCTCGGTTGTAGAGCACATGCCTTGTATGTGTCAGGCCTGGTGTATTCCAACACCACCAACACCAATAACAAAACAACTTCTTTGTCCATACAACCTAAATGGAATTGCTGTCATTGGAACTGGAAACCCATACCCTCAGACATTCTGGGATAGTGGGTGTAAAGGAAAAAGACATTCTTCAATCACTACAAAATAAGCATTGCTGTGTTTTAGAGTAACATCACTCCTTTTTGTCCTCAGTGGAGAAAAAAAAACTTCTAATGACACAGATCCTACCTCTAAAAGTTGGTCTGGGAGAGATGACTACATTTACTTCACCCAAGGATGGGAGAGGAGTGTCACCAGGCACACAAAGCCGTCAGGTTTCGAGAGCATTAACCCAGAATGAGGAACTGTACAGAGAAGAGACTGATAACCACTGCTGGGATTGAGAAATCAATGCACTGCAGCGGGAAATACTTCAAGGTCTAGCCATCACAAATGCTAAATGAGCATGCCTGTGAAGGACTCTGACTTTAATTTGTGGCGGCCGTTGATGCATGCTCCAGAAAGTTTCGCTCCAGGTTTATGCACTCACCCCAGACTGCCTCTCCTGGCACTTCCCTGAGCCAACGCTGTGTCCTGTGCCAGCCGTGAAAAGGGGGCTGAACAGTGGCAGAAACCAGCGCTGCTGGGATGCACAAAACCTGAAGGAACTGGAAATTAGAACTATGGGCTGAGGAGCTACCTAGCCCAGAGAGTTAGGCACTTGTCTATTTTATTTTTGTTTTATTTTGTTTTTTGCTTTTTGGGTCACACCCAGTGATGCTCAGGGGTTACTCCTGGCTCTGCACTCAGGAATTACTCCTGGTGGAGTTGGGGGACCATATGGGAGGCCGGGAATCAAACCCGGTCTGCCATGTGCAAGGCAAATGCCCTACTCATTGTACTACTGTACGCATTGCTCCAGTCCTGGCACTTGTTCTAAAACACAGTCGAACTGGGTTTGATCTCCTGTGTGTTGGATACCACACACTTCTGGCTATAGCCCCCAAACCAAAAAAAAAAAGTTCAAAAATTTTTTTAAAAATTAAGGACAGAAAGAAGTTTAGGGAGCAAGAGCGAGGAGCTGGCAGGAGAAAGAGGACAAGAAAAACAAAGAACTCTTGTTTTTCTTTCTTCAATTCCCACCCAACCACCCAGCACAAATGTTCTCCACCCCAGAGCTGCTGTACTTTATACCTTTTTTATAACTGTTATAGGATCTCGAGCATGGAAAGAATAAGGGCTCTTAGATTCTGGCACTTTCCCATCCAACATTATGAAGCAATGCCACTCATTTTGCATTATTGCAATCACAATTAAAATATTCTGTAAAAAATATTGTTTGGGCTGAAGAGAGTGCCCAATGGGCTAAACATGCGCTTTGCACACAGTGTTCAATCACTGGCACCACATGGTCCTCTGAGGACTGCCAGGAACAAACCCCAAGCAGAGAGGCAGGCAAAGGCTCTGAGCACCCATGAGGTGTGACCCAAACACCTTCCCCCACCCAAAGAAAGTGAAAATTGTAAAAACCCTCCAAACATGGAAAGAATCCAATTCCATTGATTTGTAGGAGTGCAAAATGAAGTGACAGATAAACAGAAGAGTGTCATGACTATCATTTCCACAATAAGAAGCCCTCTGCAATGTCACAAAATTGAGTCACCCTTCTACCTCTCTGCCCATCAAACTACATGGTTGGGATGTCACTGAAATACTATTTTCGATCTAAAGTTGAAATGGTCGTTGGGGGCTGAGGAATGACAGGTCTACTTCTGGGCCTGAGTATACTGAAGCATTTCTAGTACAAGGTGTCTCGTAGTCTTAGAAAATAGTTATTGAAAAGTAGTTGATGGAAACAATGGCATTATCTACTGCCTCTGAGGACCGGTAGAGATGTCTGGTCACTTCATCAGTCCCCATGAGCCACGTTCTCCATTCTAAAGAGAGACAATGACATGTGAAGAGCAGCTTTCAATGAGGTACAAGATAATGTGAAAGAAGTTCAGGGAGAAATAAAACCTTCTAGGGGCAGAGAGAGAGAGAAAGAGAGAGAGAGAGAGAACAGGGGTTATAGTCTCTTGTGGCCCACGTGATTTAACCTGGGTTGCCACCTACGAGTGGACCCTGAGTAAGGCTGGGTGTAAGCCAACTTTCTCTACCGCCTGAAAAAGACAGGACGAAAGAAAAAGGGCTAGAGAGATGGTACAGTGGCAGGGCGCATGCCTTGCACTTGGCCAACCCGGGTTTGATCCGGAGCACCCCATATTATCCCCCAGAGCACTGCCAGGAGTAGGCCCTGGGCAAAGAAGGGTGTGCTCGAGCACATTTTAGCTAAGTGCAAAGTCTCATCCTAACGGTACCGTACTTAAACACACCAACATGTTCACAGTGACAGCCTTACTTACACTTCAAGGGGCAATATCCAAAGAGCTTGTCCGTGTCGTAATCTGCCGTGGTCCCACACCAGAGCCAGCCGTCCGATCGACCCGCACTTGTGCAGTCTCCGTACCACTTGTTCTCGAACTTGAACGGAAAGGTGCACGTGGCCCCGTTGGCGTTGCCCAGCAGCGTGTACATGGCTGGAAGACACAGGAGGGAGAGCGCTCAGAGCGTGTGTGATGGGCACTGCCCACCAGCAGCCTCAGGCTCTCCCGCATCCCCGCATCCCTCGAGATACAACAGAGCTACACTGGGGATGCCACAAGTTTACGACCCCATCAAGAAGCCCAACTTGTGGGAAAACACCAGCCAGTCTGCAAACTCTCCACGCGGCGGCAAGCAGTGAGGCTTTAGAATGACCCACTGCCTCCCCACCCTTTCTGCCCAGCCAGCAATGAGCACCTCCGCCCTTCTGGACCAAAGGGGGCCCTTCCCTTCTGTGCATTTGTCGTCTGCAGTGAGAGAAGCCCCGATTAGGCATGCGCAGAACCTGGTCTACACAGGTTCCAGAAACCGCTTCTTGAACCACTCTTTCTTGTTCCCAAAAGGACTTAACAGTCACAGGTCAGATGTGCCTGCAATCCAACTGGGAAAGCTAGAAACCTCCCCCCATGCTTCCTTCTTGTAGTAAGTTAGGACGCTCTCTCCTTGGCGGCCCTCCGGTTTCAGACGCAAGCCCCCTCTCTCCAAGTCCCTTCTCTGCTACCTCGGTTGCGTCTGATGTGAGATCTACACCCGCATTATGTTCCATAAATGACTCAGGATAAAGTCTTCCTGAGCTCTCTCGGTCACTCTTCAATTCCTCCTCTCCCATCCTCCGACTAGGGAAGGAAAGAGGCAAATGAATCACCTTACAGAGAGCTAAGCTCCTAGGATCGGCTGCTCCACCAGGTTCCAGCCATCCTTGAAGCTGCAGTAATTTTGGAAACCAATGATCTCCTGTCCCGGAAGGCAGAGATTCCTCTAACACCATAACCCAGGGGCCCAACCTGCAGTTGGGCTGGCAGTTCCCCATCTGACTCAAGATGGCTTTGTGATAGATTTTAAGTTCCTTTGTGTTTTAAGTTCCTTTGTTCCTTTGTTTGGTTTATCCACCAGGGAAGGAAACTTTGTCTATGGAAAAACTAGATATTCTGATTTTATTTAACCTTGACAGTCTTATGTAAAGAGCCACATGAAAAGAATGGCAAGGTTTCATTATAGATTATCTGAACATGTAACAAAAAGGGGGAGGTGTTGTCCATAGATAACTTCTCCAGTAATAACTTAAAAACAAAAAAAAAGCAGTTGATTAAATTCACTTATCACTGGAGGTTACTGAAGAGACAGTACAGCAGTTAAGGCACTTGCCTTGCACTTGGCTGACCAGATTTCAATCTCATGAACCCCAGCTGGACTCTGATCTGCCAGGAGTGATGCCTGAGTATAGAACCAGGCTAAGTCCTGAGAACTGCAAGGTGTGTCCCCCAAACCCTCCAAATTAAAAATAAATAAATTCACTTATCATCCCAATAGAATCATGTTAGATGGGAGATTTGGAATCTAAAACTAAAGTGGATGCTGTTTCTAGAAGTTGTAACCCATGATTTAAAATTTATAACAAAAATAAACATTCATTTAGTCCCATAAATTCAAATGGTCTTTCATTTCAGATTTTTTGCCAATCTTATTCCTTCTCATGTTCTCGGGAAATGCAGGATAATCCAAAACAAAGGCAATCAATGGTTTAGTACAAGAAAAACAAGAATAAGTTATTTCCTTGAATCAGTTTCCAACAAAGAAGCTGAGAAGACTTTGACGGGAAACCAAAACTGTGCTGTTTCTTACCTTCATAACCTCGGGAGCATAAATCATCCGTGGTCCCATATATCTTCCATCTGCTCCATAAACCTGAGCCCTTGTACAGCATAATATTCTTCTCTTGTCTATTGCCATAGTTAAAATACAACTCTTCTCCCTTGATCCCAAAGAGGGTATCATTTTTGCACTCCCACTTCTGGAGTTCACTGCTGGAATCACAGGCATACAAGGTGATAGCGACCCAATCCGTTTTTGAGGGCACGCCCAAGCAGGACTTAAAGGCGACGCTCATCAGCTGGGACTCAGACACCCATCGGAACTTCTGGGCTTCACTCTCCTGGTTGCAGACGGCAGTATGGATGGCTGCGGGGCCTACAGCTTCCACACAGCGCTTGTGATCTTCATTGTAGATTAGAAAGTGCCTGGTGTCTGTTGGAAAGAAAGGATGGTCGAGTGAATGCATGGGCCACTCTTTCTTGTTCCCAAAGGATTTAACGGTCACAGGTCAAGGGAAGGATGTGACCCAGCCCTGGACCAGTTCAGCTCCCTCCAGAGGATTCTTGGATCTGGAGAAAATTTTTGCAATCTCTTTATTACCATCTCCTTTTCAGAGTTGTTACAAGTTCTTGCCTACCTTTTTTTTTTTTTTAATTAGTGAAACACCATGAGGTACAGTTGTAGATTTACAATTTTTTGTGCTTGGGTTTGATTATACAATGATCAGATACCCATCCCTCCACCAGTGCCCATTTTCCACCACCATGGATAATATCCCCCCACCCCCACCCCTCCATCCCCCCCTGCCTCTGTGGCAGGGCAATCCCCTGTGTTCTCTCTCTCCTTTTGGGTGTTGTGGTCTGCAAAAGAGGCATTGAGTGGCAAACATGTTCAGTCCATAGTCCACTTTCGACATTCATCTCCCCTCCTGGGAGGATCCTCCAAACACCCTTTATTTGGTGTTCCCTTCTCTATCTGAGCTGCCCTTTCCTCTAGAATGCCCGACTGGCCACTAAGCTATGGAGTAATCCTCCTGGTGCTGATCTCAGCTATTCTTGGGTATTAATCTCATATTTTGTTACTTTATGTCCCCCAGATGAATGCAATCTTTCTATGTCTATCCCTCTCTTTCTGACTCATTTTGCTTAGCATGATACTTTCCATGTTGTACCACTTGTATGTAAATTTCATGACTTCATCTTTTCTAAGAGCTACATAATACTCCCTTGTGTAGATGTACCAAAGTTTCTTTAACCAGTCATCTGTTCTTGAGTTCTTGCCTACCTTTATCTCACACTCTGCTGTGGTTAATTTTACTCTAGAGGTAATGCATTTGAAGGGGAAACATCCCATCCTCTCTTTCTATTAATGGTGTTACCATCTACCCAAAATCATAAGCCAAAAACTTGACTATCCAATTTGGAATTCCAGCTTTCCCCCACTTAGGTAGGATAAGAGCAGAATCAGTTGGATTACCCTAAAATATACTATGATAGCCAGTTTTATGTGATCTGGACAGGTCACTTAACCAGCTATTTGGTCAGTCACCAGTCTAAGAGTGGCTATAAGGTTTTTGTTAATAGTAAGAATAATATTAAAGGGGCCAAAGAGATAGTACAGCAGGTAGGACACTTCCCTTGCATGCTGCCGACCCAGGTTCCATCCCAGCATTCTTTATAATCCCCTGAGCACCACCAGGAGTAATTCCTGAGAGCAGAGCCAGGAAAAATCCCTGAGCATCATTGGATGTGGTTCCCAAATAAACAAACAAACTAGAATAACTTTTAAGTCAGAAGACTTCAAGTAAAGACTATTACCCTACATAACAAGGGTGGGACACATCCCGTTAATTGAAGGTCTTCAATAGAAAAAACAGAGTGAAGCCCTTAGGTGCCTTTCTGACTTTAGCTAAAATAGCAACTGTTTTTGGGTGCCCAGCCTGCCATCTCACTCTGTAGACCGTAGACTTGCTGGCTTCACAACTTCATGAAGCAATTCCTAAAAATAAATCTGTGTATGTGGATAAATAGGCACAAAGAAGAGTAGAGGATACCCTAGAGCTTGAGATAGTTAACACACACACACACACACACACACACACACACATATACACACACACAATCATAATGTCCTAATTCATTCTTTTCTCTCCATTTTCACTGCCACCAGTGTAAGCCATGCCACGTGGGCCTTGCTCTGTTCTTACTCTCCTTGAAATGAAATAATCAAAGTCAAAAAGGATTGATTTCCCAATTTCTAGGAGGAGATGGGTCTCCCTTTCCAGACTCCAAATAGCAAAAGCCAAATTCAGTGGCCTGTTTCAATCACGAAGGAGTAATTTCCTTCTATTTCTGCAATCTCTTACTGCAGGCACTTGGTTGGAAATTTTTTGATACCTGAATCTCACACTCTGCCATAATTAAATTGAAGTAGAAACGTCAGAGGTCAAAGTACATTTGGGGAGGAAGTCATAAATTTCAATCTAGTATCCCAGAGTAAAAGTAACGGGAGGGGCTGTAGAGATAATGTAGCAAGTGGGGTGCTTACCTTACACACAGATTTTCAGCAACATGGGTAGTCCCCCAAGCTTCTCTGAGTATGATCCCTGAGCATAAACCCTGTACACTGCCAGCAAGGAGTGGGGGCACAAAACCAAACCAAAACAGGAAACAAAATATCCAGCAACAGAGGCATCAAGCACATTTAAAGCCTTTCAATGATTCCATAGCAAGGAATTCAGTGTCTAACCTGTATGTAATCTCCATGTATCAAGTTGGGTATCACATTCTGATTAAAGGCCTTCTCTGTTGTGAGATAGTTTCATTTTTCTTCTCCCTTTCTGGAGATGTTTTCTAGGTTGGAAGGAGGGTTTCCAGGGTTGTTGGGTTTTTTGTTTGTTGGGGTTTTCTTTGTTATGTTGTCTTTAGCTGTACCTGGCTATGTTCAGGACTTACTCCTGCCTGGATGCCTAGGGATCACTCCCAACAGTGTCTGCAGGACTGACCTTAGCAGTGCCAGAGATCAAACGTGGGTCAGCCATTTGAAAGACAATCACTCTATCCACTTGATTATCTCTCCTGTCCCAGAAGTTTTGGCTTTGACGACTACTGATGCAGACTGCCCCTCCCCACCCCCCAACATGTAACTACCCACATTCACCTCCCAGTCTACTAGAGGGCCAGGACCCAGCACATCCCCTTCTGCACTCACCTGCTGGTACTCCCCATGCTCCAGCCGCAGCCCTTTCTGTTCCTCTAACACTTCCTCCTGGCTTCCTCCCTCTAAGCTCAGGTTTGGGTTTTGGGATAGTTTATTTTTGGCTTTTTGAGTCACACCCAGTGATGTTCAGTGCTTACTATCCTCAGGGAACCCTATGGGATGCCAGAGATCAAACCTGAGGTTCTGAGAAGCATAGCCTGAGTTCTAGCCCCTTGAGCCATCCCCTGTTTTCTGAAGGTCTATTTTTACCTACAGGCAGTTTACTCATGTTGGCACTTACGAAAGGACTGCTTGGAAATGCTGCTATTTCAATCCAAACTTATCTCGTCTCGTTTCCTTTATTTATCTTTGACATGGGCAAGCAGCGCAAATTTGATATTGCCTTTGCTGGACAATGGAGGGAAATGTAAAATTATCACTGTAGGGCTCGACATTCATCCATCATTCCTCTCCTCCACCAAGCAGCTGGACACGAAGCCGCTCTTGCCACTGTTCCTACGCCGTGTCTTTCATTTTGATCACCCTCTTTCCTCTGAAAGTAAGCCAGTGCTTTAACTGAAAGGTTGCTTGTGGTATTCTGCTACAATTAAACACACTTTTTAAACTGTTGTTTGCTTATTTGTTTGGGGGGCATCCCCAGCTACATTCGGGGCTTGCTGCTGGTTCTGTGCTCTAAGATCATTTTTGGCCATGATCAGGGACCTTATGCTGAACTGAGCATCAAACAGGGTTAGTCACCCACATGGCATCACTCACCTTAACCCCTGTACTTTCTCTCTGGCCCCGAATCAATGTTTTATCTGAGTAAATGCTCCTGGTTTCGATGTATAAATGCTCCTGAGTTTTGGTCTATACTAGTTATACTACTGTAATGAAGTATTGTGGAATAAATGAAAGTTGGAGAGCAATATTCATTGCTGTGCAACTTCATGTAAGCTGTCCAACGTGTTCCTCTTGGCTGTGCTTGTTAAGATTTACATGACAACTGGTTGGGGAGATGAGGAAATGCACCTTTGCTTTATCTTACTAACCTCACCTTTATCTTCAGCACAATTATCTGTGAACACCTGTTATGTGCCATAACCATGGGAGGGGCCATACAAAGACAATCCAGAAGCAAGTTCCCTGCTTCTGATCTCACACTCTGCCTGGGTAAATTCATGACAGAGAGGCCAAAGTTCATAGTACATCTGGGAAAGGAGTCATTAGTGCCAGATCAGAAATGACTGAGGACTAAATAGCTAATAACATGGACGTGAAGTTTCTTCCAAGCATTTCTAATGGCTTACAATGAGTCCCTGACACTGAGCAAGGAATAAAACGTCCAAACTTACTAAATCTGGGTTATTAATGGTGATTTCTGACAGACACAACTACTACATAGTTGGACTTTGCCTACAATGAAAACTAAAGTGCAGATATGAAAACATAAGAGAACAGTTGTGTAAGACCCAGAAGCTAGGGGAAACGAGAGTGTACTCTGTCGCAGGTCCTGCCACAATCCATGTATTTCTCCTTGCCTGTGTCTTTCAATGTTTGTTGGAACCACCTCCAAACACCCACCTCATGGGGCGTGGGTCCTGGTCTGGTCAACAGAGCTTCCCACTAATCATTCACCATAAAGACTCCAAGGGCCAGTTAGTTGTCACATCCTAGAGTAGCCCTTCACCAATTACCATTGAGAATAGGAGAGGCAACACCCAGATCCCTCTCTCCTTGGCTGGAGACCGGCCTCTGCAGCACTTGTCTACTCGGCCACACTCTGCAGAGGGTCCCGAGGAGGTGCTGCAGTTATCCAAGTCATCTACTCAGTTCCAGCACCTCCACGCCCTCCCTGCATGCCACCTCCTCTTTCCGCTTCACCACCCCACTCCTCCAATGCTCCTGGAGTCACTAGCCAAGTCATCTACTTTGTTAGAGGTCTGCTACTCCAGCAGCCAAAACCAAGGAATCGGCCTGAAAACCTCAGGCCCTGAAAGTAAAGCCCTTGCCACAGTGTAAGATTTATGTACCCACCCCCCCCAGGGCCATAGAGACAGGACAGTGGGTAAGGTGCTTGCTTTGAAGGCCACCAGCCCAGGTTCAATCCCTGTCATCCCATATTATCCCCCAAGCACTGCCAGGAATGACCTGAGCACAGAGTCAGGAGTTACCTCGGAGCATCACCAGGTATAGCTCAAACACAAAATAAATAAAGAAAAGATTTGTGTCCC